CCCCGGGTTTTTTTTTTTTTTTTTTTTTTTTTGACCTTAATGGCTCATCATTCTTTGCTAGCTACCTGGAAAACTCCAGGTTACTTATCTGACCTTGAAGACCTTGCAGATCTAACTCAAAAGTCACTTTTCTTGAGTTAGCAGAGTTCATTGTTCCCTGTCTACACTCTATGGAACTTTATATATTTCTGTGTTAGTTCTTGTGACATTGTATTTTAGCTGTTTATTAGTCTCTGAGAATCTGCTAGATCTTCAGAAACTGAAGAGTAAGGATTAAATCTTAACTAGATTAAGTCTCTATTTTTATTTCCCACATAGTACCTGCTGTAAAATTGGCATTCTAAATCATTGGATTTAAAGATTTGGGAATTTTACTCAGTTTGCTCAGCAGTATCTTCATATTTGTATCTTCCTTTGCATTCTCACATTACCAGCTTAGTTCAGGCCCTAATAACCTCACACCTTTTGCATTTGTAAGAGTCTGTATTCAGTGGCGTAGAATCTATGCACTAGTCTTCCTTTTCTCATTCCATTTTCATAGTACCCCCCCAGTGTAAAGCACTGCTACACCGTAACCTCCAACCAAACCTTGCATGGCATACTTTTCAATTCCCTTATCACCCTGGTTACTCACCAGATGATTTTTTTTTTAACATAATTGGTAGGACTTCACATTTTTCCATACTAGTTTGGTCTAAGTTTTCAGCCTATGTGAATAACTTTGAATCATAATTTGATAATTCGTAGCGTTAGCCATGCCTCCCAGCTTTCTGTTATCTGCAGATTTGATAAACTATCTTCATGTCATCATCCAAAAATAATGGGCAAGACCAAGGACAGACAATACTTCATGTTATTTTTTTCTAAGGTACTTCTTAATAGTTAACATCAGCCTTTAATGTTTCTGTAGTAACCCTTAATACACAAAGTGTCTATAGTCTGGAAACATAGGTGAATTGTATAATGTTGTCTGGGACGGCTTTGTTCTGTTTCTAGACTTTATGGATACCCTACCCTATATATGACTGGTACTCAGTTTTGCATTGGTAGTCATTGTTTGATGTTCCTTAATTTTTTAAAAGAATTAAGATTGTAATAATCTGACTTCTTAAGTATGCTAAATATAAATGTTTGGCATTTATTTTATATTTGTTGATTAAAATAATACGTTATATATTTATTTTATATTTGTTGATTAAAATAATATATGTCATGCCTATGTTAATAGTGAGCAATCTTAAGCATTTCTCTTTTATATAACATTATTTTTAAAGGGAAGGATAGAACCAGTGTTGTAAAGAATTTTGTATACAGTTTTAAAGATTATAATGCCTTCTCTTAATAGTTTAAAATGTGTGATATCTTAGTCGAAGAAAACAGTTTGCAAAACAGTATATTCCATTTTTGTGAAAATAACACCAAAATACAACATACACATAGAAAAATGTTCGGAAAGATATACTTCTGAGTGAAAAAATGAATAGTGCGTCTTTCTTATTGGTTAGCTATGAGTGTTTGTTATCTTTTTTATACTCTTCGCCTGTCCTTTTTTTTCAGTGAGTATACATTACTCTTATAATCAAAAAAAACCCAAAACTTAAAAAGGTAGCTTAGTTATGAGTTGTTGTGTTAACTAACATATCGTGACTTTCTCTTGCAGAAGGGACTTGATGGAACCTACATGGATGCAGCCTGACAGATTGAGCCCACGAGTCCACCATTCTCAACCACAGCCTCCTATTGGAACAGCTGGAAATTTACTCTCCCAGCTCTTGAGTCTAGAGCATGTAGGGCTTTTGCATAAGGATTTTGAATCTATTTTATCAAGCAGGAAGAATCATAATATGGCTTCAGGGCCATTATCCTTTACACCTCAACCACATCTGACCTCCCCAGTTGCTCATTCAGATGCCTTGTTAAAACCTAGTACCAGCCAATTTAAGAGTAAACTGGATCGTATCGAAGCCTTGAAAGCAACAGCTGCTTCTTTGTCTAGCAGGATTGAAAGTGAAGCCAAGAAATTAGCTGGGGCTAACATTAATTATGGGTCAGTATGGAACACTGAGTATGATGTGCAGCAAACGCCTCAAGAAGATGGACCGTGGACCAAGGCTATAAGTCCACCTGTGAAAGAGGATACTGAAGACGTTTTCTCTGCCCGAATTCAAAAGATGCTGGGAACTTGTGTATCTCATGCAACTTTTGAAGATGAGCTTCCTGGTGTGGGCAACCTTAGTGAATTTAAAAAGCTTCCTGAAGTGATAAGACCTCATAGTGCCATATCCAGCTTCAGAATGAGATCCCCTGGTCCCAAACCAGAAGGGCTGCTGGCACAATTGTGTAAGAGGCAGACCGACTCTTCCAGCTCTGATATGCAAGCTTGTTCTCAAGACAAAGCCAAAACGTCTCTTGGTTCCAGCACAGAATCAGTCAGTGAAGGTCCTCTTCTTAGTGAGGGAAGTCTCTCTGAAGAAGAGGGGGGCCGAGATGGACGGCCCCCTTTGAAGGTAGCAGAAATCTTAAAAGAAAAGGAATTTTGTGCTGGAGAAAGAAATGCTTATGAACCCATCAAAGAGTTTCAGAAGGAAGCTGAAAAATTCTTGCCACTTTTTGGGCACATAGGTGGTACACAAGGCAAAGGACCTTGGGAAGAATTGGCAAAGGGAAGTCCACATAGTGTCATTAATATTTTTACAAAATCGTATCAATTATATGGAAAAGGTGAGAAAAATAAATAAGCCTTGTAACATTTGTATGTTATCTTAAGAAAAATTATTTCATAATCTGTAGAAGATAATACTTAAGTACAGATTCTCATTGTTAATTATGAGGATAATGGAAATACTGTCTAAATCTAAATTACTTGCAAGTTTTAACTAGAGTACTGTAATCTTTAAAGTTTTATTTTATTTTTTAGTCATATAATAACAGTTGATTGGTAGTAATAGAAATTTTGGTCTAATTTGGAGAAATTCGTAGGTGATGTTCAGGATTGGTATGTATCAAGTGTGTACTAGGTTTTCTGTGACCATAGTTATGTATTAAGAGAGAAAAAAGCATATTTCTTAATAGTGACTTGTGAATCATTGGGAATATAGTGTTCAAGAATCAAAGGGGGCAACTATAGTAACATTTCTAATACGGAAACCTAATACGGAATCTACCGTTTGTCAAAGTTAATTTTAAATACAGACTTCGACACAGTAATGTAGCTACATAATTGGTTCTTGAAACAAAAACTTCTAAAGTTTCCTTTTTATGCTTGAGATCCTGCAACACAACTTTCCTTTTCTATGAGGGACTCAGTTCCTGAAAGTCCTTTCCTCTGTTCTTCCTGCCACAGGTGGATTCTACCTGTCTTATGCTAACATAACCTTAGAATTTCCAGGTTGGAGAGTGAGGCTGAGCCTTAAGTCACCTGTTGATGCTGTAGTTTTTTGTTTCCATTCTAAATAGTGAACAACTTATTTGGCAAATGAATTGATTTCATCTGTTTATCTTATACTTCATTGGTATCACATTGCAATTTCTTAGAATTTATATTTAGCCAATTCGTTATGATCTTATATAGATTTATATATGCTACTCATCCCTTTTATTTAACACTTAGTTCTGTAAATGGTACTTTTGAAGTTCTTTGGATTTTAAAGCTCTTTTGATAAAAACAAAGTGCTTTTAAATCAACAACCTCATTTTTTGTAAGAAAATTGAGTTCTTAAATCCTCTTAGATTTTCATTAAGATTTTATAGTTATACTGAAATATTTAGAGTTGACATGATATGTATCTGGGATTTGCTTCAAAATAATTTGTAAGGAGAATGAAAGATGTATGGAATAAGAGGTTTAACTGAAACTAGATCGATACATTGGTTTCATTATGCTCTTCTCTCTACTTTTCATGTATGTTTGAAAATTTTCATAATTAAAACTAAAAAAATGTATTTTTAAATATAAAGATAAATTGAAAAGAAACCCTAATAAAAGCAAACTAAAATGTCCCTAAATCCATGTTGTTAATCTCTTATGTTGTGGAATGCGTTGCTTGTTGTGTTTTTATTTTTGTTTTAAAACACATTTCAATTATTACTTTTGACAGGGCTTGAAGACAGGATGGAAAGAGGAACATCAGCATCGCGGCCTTCGAATGCCATCCCAAGCCCTCTGAGCAGTGTTTCGTATGAAGATGATTTTGTCTCCTCTCCAGGGAGTGGGACTTTGACAGAAAAAAAATCAGCTCTTGAACCTAGGTACGAATATGTTGAGAATGTGGAATATAATCTGAAGGGTGAGAAAAATGTATAAATGAGATCTGTAGTCTGAATATTAGTCAAATTTTGCCTTTTTAAGGACACATGTAGAGTTTGCTAGCATAGTGGTTATTAGTAACACAGGCTCTGTATTCAGACTGCCCGGATTTAAGTCCTGGCTCTCTTGATTATTAGTTGTTTTTGGGTGTATTACTTAACCGTCCTGTGCCTCAGTTTCCTTCTCCGTGAAATGGGAAAAATAATATTACCTATCTCAAGAGTGTTATGACTATTCAGTTAAATACAAAGCACTTAGAACAGAGCCGAGCACATAGATCGTTAAATCAGTCTCTGAATCCTCAATAGAGGATGGGATTGGGAAGCCGTCCCGTAGTGTACTAACGTTAAAAGAAATAAGAAATAGTTTCCTCTGATAGAATGGAGGATGACCAGATAGATCCTTGACTCCATGATCCCAAGTAATCAGTAAATTTTTTTTATGATTGGATAACATCTAAAATTTTGCGAGGCTTTAAAGAATAACTGTTATATTAATATTTATTGAGCACTTAATGTTGCAAGGCATCGAAAGGACTAAGGGAGGAGCTTTACCTGTGTTAATTCATTCTTACAACAGCCCGATGTGATAAGTACTAATGTGGCCATTTCTGCTTCAGGAAACCGAACCTCCAAGGTTAAGGTACTTGTCCAGAGTCATATAGTGAGTGAGTCAGACCTTGCAGGAGAGGATGTCCTCCCTAAATTTTGTTACCATATAAAGTAGTCTGTAATTACTCACATTTGATATAATTTTCTTCAAAAATTATAAATTGTAACCTACATAAGATTATTGGATGATCTTTTAAAAATTCTATCTAGTTGGACTTACGAAGATAAGTATTATTAAATTATAGCAGGAAAGGAATAGTTTTAAATTTTGAGCTCTAAAGAAAAGATCGAATGAAAAGATTGAATTTTTAAATCAAAACTTGTAAAAGTTTAATTGTGGTGACATTTAATAGCACCAATCAATATGATTTGTTGTATTTTATTTCTAGGTTGAAGTAGAACATATCGTTTCCTATAAGATTATCAGAAGGAAAATAATCATCATACATAATCATAAATCCAAATAGAAATTGAGGCCACATTTTCTAGTATCCAGCATTATTCTATTTTTTCTATTACATATCTGAATTATCCATTTTTATTGGTTTCACTTCAATAAACAACTCCTTGAGATTTTTCTCAATAATAAATTGAACCATAGGAAATAATCCAGGCCTATGGTAGTAGAAAAAGAAAAAAGAAAAGTGGAAGGCATCTTTGATTAAAGTTATATTCTCTCTGCGATTAAATAGATTAAAAAATATCTATAATTTAGCGGCATTTTAAGACTTGTTATTTCTTTCTTCTACTATTACTTATTCCTTGACAGTATTGGTGGTAGCAATTTAGGCCTTCAGGAGGAACATTCTAGCAGAAAGTCTGCCTATGACCTTGCCTCTGTGGATGTCACCTCCCAGCATTCATCAGGGGCCCAGTCTGCTGCATCGTCTCGGTCATCTGCTTCTTCTAAAGGAAAGAAGGGAAAAAAGGAAAAGATAGAATGTAAGTGGAATTCTACGTGGCGACTTTTTCTCTTACCATTGACTTTGTGGTAGTGATCTAAAGTTATAATTTGATTCCATAAGAAGTTAGATGAACTTTATGATAATGTAAAATTAACTTTCATATTTAACATAACAGTACCTTTTTATATATAACATAAATCTTTTGCTTAGTACAAAAGGAGTTCATTTATAATTATAAAAAACAGGATTACAGATAAACAGTCATGCAAGAATGAAATATCCATTGATCCCTCTGCTCAGAGAGAACTACTATTAACCTTTTCGGTGCCTATTTTTCTAATACATACATAAAACGATACACACACATACTTATACACACACACACATCTCTATTTAAAAAACCAAAATCATATTGTTTTGCAGTGGCTTTTTAAAAAACTATGGTATATCATGTATATCTCTGAGCATTATTAAATACTCAAATTTTCTTATCTGTAAGATAAAGATGATAATAATAGATGCTTCACATGGTAATTTTGACGCTTACTGGAAATTAATGGATAGAATATGTACTTGGGCACTCTAAGTATTTTTGAGTGATTGAGGAGAATACCCTTCACTTTCCTCTATACTGCTTTAATTTGGTTATAATTTGTTCTGTTGAATTAGAGGTGAGAAGATACAGCAATTAGGCAGAAGCCTCTTAAACTCACAGGATGGTCCTTCCCTAGGGGATGATTTTGCTTCCAAAATTGTTTTTTCTAAATGTAAAAAATTGCTCATTGAGTTAAAAAAAAGGAAGGGGAGGAGAAATTAGTAAATATAGAAAACTATTTAAAAATGAAAAATCACCTGTAATCGCTCTACCTGCAGATAACCAATGCTAACATTATTTTTAGGTTTTATTTTCTTTTATTGTGGTAAAACATATGTAACATAAACTTTATTATTTTAACCATTTCTAAGTGTACAGTTAAATGGCTTTAAACACATTCATATTGTTGTGCAGCAGTCACCACTGTCCCATCTCCAGAACTTTTTCATCATCCCATACTAAAACTCTGTCCCCGGTAAATAATAACTCCCTGTCCCTGTCTCCTCCAGCCCTGCTAACCACTGTTCTGTTTTCTGTCTCTATGAATTTGACTACTCTAGGCACTTCATATAAGTGGCTTAAGAATATTTATCTTTTTGTGTCTGGCTTATTCCATCTAGCATAATGTCCCTTACGTTTCATCCATGTTGTAGCGTATGTCAGACTGTCCCTTTTTTTTAAAAGTTGAATAGTATTCTATTGTATGTATTTACCACATTTTGTTTATCTGTTCATCAGTTGATGGACATTTTGTTTTTTTCCACCTTTTGGCTATTGTGAATAATGTTGCCATGAACAGTGGTGTATAAATATCAGTTCGAGTCTCTGCTTTCAATTATTTTGTGTGTATACCCAGATGTGGACTTATTGGATCAAATGATATTTCTGTGTTTAATTTTTTGAGGAACTGCCATACTGTTTTCTATAGCAGCTGCAGCATTTTACATTCCCACCAGTAATGCACAGGGGTTCCGGTTTCTCCACATCCATGCCAACACTTGTTTTTTTTTTTTTTTTTTTTAATACTAGAAAACCTAATGGGTGTGAAACGTTACCATTTTTAGCAAGAATCTTTTCAGACAATTTGTAGGCATGTGTAAATTAGAAATGTTACGTGTATGGGATCCTATTATACATGATGTTTTGTTCTTTCAGTGGCTTATAGATATCTTTGTCAGTAAATATGGATTACCCTTTGTAATGATCACCTAGCGTTCCATTATTTGAATATATTGTAATTTAGCCAGTTTCTGGACATTTAGGGTTTTTTTCTTCCTTTTTTCCCCCATTATAGACACTGCTATATTGAATATCCTTATAAATGCATCTTTATGCATTAGTCTAGTTCTTTATTTTTTTTAAAGAGAATATCCTAGAAGTGAAATAATGGGGCAAAGAGTATTACATCCTGTTTAAAATTTGGATACATTTTGCCAAATGGTTATTCAGAAAGCTAGTGTCACTTTATACTTCCAATGTGAGAGTGGTAGCAGAAATTATTTCTTAATCATTAACCTAGTATTACTCTCAACAGTGTTCTGAAAGTCTTTAGTAGGAACATTAGACATTATGTTACCAGCACTTCTCAAAGTCTATCTTTTCTTCTGAAATACTGCTTCAGTGCGAGAGGCTGTTTCATCCGTGTTCTGAGGCTCACAAAAGAACTCCATGGTTCCAGAAATGTGGGGAAATGCTTTTAAGAGTGAAACAGGCTTCTTTGCTACTGGGTTCATAAACACTTTTAATATGCTAATATGCATTATTTATTTTAGGGTGAGGATGAGGCTGTAGTATGAAGTATAATCCTAAATTATTTGACCATAGAATTATTTCTTTAATCAACACATTGTGGCGTTAGAATTCAGCAGAACACATTTTAGGAAATGCCAATCTTGCTCAGTTCTTTTATTTTGCAGTTTCATACTTAGTTTATGTTAGTGTCTCACTCAAGGTCACTAACTAGTTATTGGCAAAGCCTGCATTCTGACTTCCGACTCCCAAAGCTAATTCATCTTATCCTTTAATATACTGTACAACTTAAAATATGATATATTGAGTATAAGTATAAGCAGTATGATTTAATATGTTTAAAAAAATTATAACCTAAACATGAATGTATGTACTATAGGTAGAGTTTAGTGGCTTTTCGCTTCCCTGCCCCTCTCACAATGCCTTAAAAAAAACCCTCTATTTTACTTTTTACAGCATCATCATAAACTTAATTTCTTCTTCATCCCCAAGTCCTAAAATCAGTGCAATTTTTGTTGTATATACTCCATCTGGTGGAGAAAAAGAGTGTCTGCATGCTGTGTACTTGATAGTCTTTTAAAGTAAGGGGAAACATTTTCTTTGTATAGACTCCCTTGATTGGACTTTAGATCTTTCTTGCATAGACCATGGTATTGTATACAATTTCTAGTAGTTTGAAATCAAGGAAAATTTTAAATTGTGTATTTATTTTCAAAGAACAATGTTAAATGAATAAAGACTTTTTATTAAAAAAAAAATGCACCTTTATTATGGAAAAATTAGAGATAACCAGTATTAACAGCTTGCTTCTAGCCTTGGGATCATAAATAGATTTTAAATGATAGAGTCCTTTCTAATTGATGATTAATAATCCCTTAGATTATTTGTATGTCCCGCCCCCCCCCCCCCCCGCCATTATTATATCTAATTTATGGTGCTCATCTTTACATAGCTTCCTAGGATGAATTATTAAGAGTGAGGTGGAATTTCTGTCAAAGAGAATGGAAAATTATTTTTATACATATTTTAAGTTGTTTTTCAGAAAGGATGTATCAGTTTGCACTCCAATGAAAACAATGAGTAGCCTTTCCTGTCTGTGCTGAATGACTCAAGGTTTCATTTCTTTAAAAATATTTGCTATTCTAACAATGAAAAATGGCATCTCACTCCTCCCTCCTCCCCCTAGCCTGGTAACAACTATTTTACTTTGTGTCTCCAGGAGTTTGCCTACTCTAGGTACTTTATCTAAGTGTGTAATCAGAATATTTGTTCTTTTGTGACTGGTTTATTTTACTTAGCGTCTTCAAGGTTTATCTGTGTTGTAGCAGTATGTTAGAATGCTCTTTCTTTCTAAGACTGAATAATATTTCATTGTATGTATAAACCACATTTTTCTTTGTTTATGCATTCATCAAACTGTTGAAGGACATCTGGGTTGGTTTCAGCTTTTGGCTATTGTAAATAATGCTGCTATGAACATGGGTGTCCAATATAATTTTTTTTCACTTTTCCATTTCTTTGATCTTTAACCATATATTTACACTTTAAAAAACCTTAATTACCATTAAAATGTATATGCAATTTTTTTTTAGTGTAACAGATATTTTCCCATGCCGCTGTTGAAACATATCAAGGTGAACGATGTACTAGACATAGAGTCATGAGGCCTAGGTTTATGTCCTACTTCTGTTATTGACCATGTATCCTTAAGCAAGTTATTTAGCCTCATAGATCTGTAATTACTTCATCATTAAATGAGCATATGGTACTCATTTCATAGGATGTTTAAGAGCAATAAAGTAATATATATGTAGTGCATTTTAGATTACAAAGTGCTGTTTAAATGTTCAAGTTACTATTAGCTATGTAATTTAGAAAACTCTTCTGTCGTTGCAAATGTAGGTTGAACTTTTTAAAATGATATATATAAAGTTATGCGTTGAATATCATGCATAATTTTTGTTTACTGGTATCAGTAATCTCTTTAAGATACTCTTAGGTGAGATATTCTGCATCAGAGAATATGAGCAGTTTTATGAATCTGGCTATATAGTTTTTCCCATAGAGCTTTTCAAAAGGATCGTGTAGTTCAGTTGGCAGTTGATGCCATTTTTCTCTCAGCTTTGAGTTCCTCTTGTTTACTTTTTCGTAGGATTTGAGTAGTACTTCATTCTTATTTAATATACTTGTCTTTTTTTAACTCCTTGATTTTAGAACCGTTTATCTTTTAATAGCAGATGGGGGCTGTTAATGGAAGAAATTTCACTTTTTTTACATGGAAGCAGAAGGATGAAAGAAGTGCTTTAGCTACGAACAAATTTTTTAAATAAGTCAATTTTTAAATATTCTGGTCTGTACTTATTATTTTATTGAAATCTAGGTATCTATCAATTATCTTTCATAGCTTCTAATATTGGAAGTCAGTTTTATAAGAAGTTTGCTTTGCAGGGCTGGATTCACTCACCGGAAATGTTCAGAACTCACTTCTTGATGAGGAAAAGGTGCACTCTGGCTCAGAACGTGGCTCTCATCGGGGAAAGAAATCTGGGGCCAGTAGCAAACTTTCTGTCAAAGGTTATGAACAGACTCTTGACACTGACAGCACTTTGGAGGACCTTTCTGGGCATTCTGTGAGGTAATGTATATTTTATACTGAAATTCATATTTAATTAAAATTACAATATTGTCGCTGTTCAGAGAATACACTTAGTAAATTTCTGTATTTTACGAATAGGATAGTTTTGTTCATAGCTCTAGTCTTTATGTTTTAGAATATGACCATCTCTCAGCTAAACTATTAACACCCTCTCCCTCAGGAATTCTCTGCTTCTAGCACAACCCCCCTTTCTCTTTTAAATGCCATTGCCACAGATGCTTTCCTGCCTCAATCCTTTGACCAAGCAGCTACTTTCCTTGGGGTATTTTGGGAGCTTGCAGTTTCCTCGCAGGTCAGCTCTAAGAACTTCATCTGAAGTGTTTCCACTGGGCTCCCACCACAAACCATCTCATTTCCTTTGTCTGTTCAGTTTGCTTCTCAACTGTGTTCTGCTCTTTCAGCACAATGACTTAGCATCCTTTCGGTCTCATTGTTTATTTCTCCTTCTGAACTTCTCTCTCCTGCTCAACTTATTAAATGACCTGAGCAGACTTTGAAATCTCACTCTCTTATTGATTATGGATCTTGCATACTCTGTGATTTTTTTCCCTTCTTTTTACTATATATTATGTGCTTAGCCTGTTGCTTGCAAATAACTGTCAGTTATTGCTTCAGGTACAGTTTCTCCTTCTGTCCACGTGACTTTTTATCTGCTGTGCTGGTTTTGTCCTTTTGGAAATTTAAGCTCTGAGAAGACATGGATTTATTTTTTTCTTTCAGAAATGAACCCTGCTCTTTCTAGCATAGTGTCACATACAGATAATCATTTTTAATGCTTTCATGTTGCAAGCGTTGTGACATTAGTACTGTCATTGCTGTATAGTGCTTTTGGAATTCAGAAAACTTTACTTTTGTCTTAAGAGATAACCTGATGATTTAATTGGCAAAATCTACAAAGTTGGATATTTCTAAAACAGAATCCGTAGCCAAATAAGTTTGATAATGCCCCTGTACTATAGTCTAGACCCCCTCTTCCTCACCTGTGGGTGTTCACAGTGGATGAAGTAATTTGAGTCTTTGATAAAGAGGAGTTCAGACTTTGAAAGCCTATTTTTTCTTAACTTACTTGGCTGTAGGCACTCTGTCTCCAAGCTCTCCGCACCCCCCCCCCCATTTTTTTAAGTTTTTTGGAAAACTAAATAACATTGAAAACATACTTTTGGAAGTGCTAGTCTAGGTGAATCTTCTCTGTAGAGAAAATACAATATAAATTCACCTTGTAAAACTATAAGATGAGAGTTAGAGTAGTTTTGATGTCATTTGGAATTTTTTCAGAGAAATCTATTTGGAGACAGAAGTAATGATAATCCTTTTTATGGTTCATAAATGAAATTGTCATACTGTTAAAAATAGTATTCTTATAAACCATCAGTAGAAAATTAAAGGTCACTGTAAACAAGTGGGTGCCTCTCAAGACTACTTTTATTCAAATATTTATATGCTGGGGATAAGAGAAATGTTTACCTTTGAAAACTATTTCATAATTTTATTAAAACTAAAAGTAAACTTGTTAGTAAAGTATGTTAGAAATATGTTAACTGTGCTAACTTGCTTTATAGAGTATCTTTAAGTGTTTAGTCAGTAAATATTGATTGAATGCAACATTTTTCTTGTTATGAGAGGCAATATTCTTTTTAATATTCTTATTAAAGAATAACCTTAATTTTTCAAAGAGTGGCTGGATATGTGCCTTGTGTTGGATTAAATGCCTTAAGAATTGTCCAGTCAAACTGCTATGAGATGTTACTTCTTAGAAGAAAGTTCAGGAAAGTACTATAGTATTAAAAGGTGGGTGGAAGTAAATGGACATATATGAAATGCTTAGGGATAGTTAGTATGAAAATAATATTTTGCTGTGACTTGGGTTAAGAGGAACAACAAAAGAGTGGTTTCATTTCTCTTTAATACAAAATGATATTCTCTTTCAGAGACATATTTTAAGACATTTTTAATAACAGACTTGATTTTACCTTTTACATATGGCTATAATTTTATTGCTATAAAACAAAGGACTTTGCCTCATACTACAATAGTGATTCATGATGTGTTTCATTGTTGAGGAAAGAGTTAAGGGGCCCTTTAAGCCAGAGACTCCTTTTCCATCTTATTTTGGGTGGGGTTTGTGCCTAGCTTGTTCACACTGTAAATGTAGCAGTAAGAGGAGTACTCGAGAGTTGTTCATTCCACATAGTGACTGTTAAATGAGTAAATGCCTGAATCACAGCTTTTTCAAGCTAATGTTAATAAAGAAAGTAATAAGCACTGTGTTTATGAATTGCGTAGCTGGTTCCCAAAGTAGTTTTCCTTTCTCTAATGTTTCTCAAATAAAACTCCTAGCATCTCATCAGACAAGGGAAGATCTCAGAAGACTCCAACTTCTCCCCTGTCTCCGAGCTCCCAGAAATTGTTGCAGTTTGACCTTCCAGGAACTTCATTAGAAAGATCTAAGTCCTCAGCAATAATGTCTCCAACAGTAACGGGATTTAAGCCTCATGTGGCTGATGTGAACATGGCCGCCAGCAGAACAACTACAGAGATGACTTCAACACCAGGCAAGTAGACCCATGCAGTTGGAATTTAAAAAATAAGATACTAATTTATTTTGAAAAATTTTCTTTCAATTGAACCATAGAGAAGTGTTATTTCAAATGAATATGATTCCTTTTTGAAGTATTAAACAGAAACTGTGCTGGGAAATAAAATTTAAGACACACGAGAGATTCAGTAGTGATTTTTCTCATCTTGCCAGCCTTAGTCAAAACACCTGAAAATGTATGCTGTATGTCCTTTTAAGTGTTTGTGGGTATATATATATGTATGCACATGTGCGTGCACATACTTGCCCATTTATCCACACGCAAAAGATAACCATTAAAATGCATTATACTCATAAGTCACTGTTTTTCCTACAAAGAAAAGCAGACTTATTTTTGGCTCTTAAAATGAGAAATGACTTTCAGAAATCTGAGATGTAATTTCATGTGAACGTTTACATTTGACAATTGTTATGCCCTCCAGGTTCTAAACGCTTTTCTCCTGCTGGTCTCCAGCATCGTATGGCGGCCGAACTCAGTTACTTGAGTGCCATTGAGGAGTCTGTGCGCCAGCTATCAGATGTAGAGAGAGTTAGAGGCATTTCACTTGCTCAGCAAGAGAGTGTGTCTCTGGCTCAGATCATAAAGGTATTTGTAGAGTTTTCTTCTTCAGCTTTCTGTGATTTTTTTCTTTTCTTTGCTATTTAAAATAGCCTTAATGATGAGGTAAAAAAAATCATAGTAAGTGGTCAGTAAATATTTGATAAATGATAAATGGTTGATATCTACCCTATTTACTGTCTTTAGGCTTTATTTGTTTGCTTCAAAAGATTTGTGTTAAGAAAATTGCCTTGTGTTTAATATGGTTATTGTGTTATAATTGTTTAGTTTTTTTGAATTAATAGTTGATCATTTCTCTTTTTTGAAGGCACAGCAGCAACGCCATGAAAGAGACTTGGCCCTTTTAAAATTGAAGGCTGAACAAGAGGCTCTGGAGTGTCAGAGACAATTAGACGAAACCCGAAACAAAGCAGCTCAGGTAACTAATTTTGCAGCCAGTACTAGTTCTTAAACCTAAATGCATATCCTTGAAATCACTTTAGTATTTTTTTAATTCTATGAGAGTTAAAAAAAGATGTAAATTATGCCCTATGGGTTAATTTCATGTCATTTGATTTTTGTGGCAATGCTGTGACATTAAGTCATCAAGATTTAGCCCCAATTTAAAGAAGTGGAAACTGAGGTTCGTAGTAGTTGTCTGTAGACACTGCAACTCATGAACAGTGGAGTTAAGACCTAAACTCCAGCAATGATTTTAAGACTCCAGATTATAGACTCTGAAAGACGTGAAATTCAGATAGTAGTCAAAATAGTGTGTGTGTGTGTGCGCGCGCGTGCGTGCGTGTGTGTGCGCGCACACGCGTAGGTAGGTAGGTAGGCATGTGTATGTATAAGGCATTTGACCTATGGAACAAATTTACAAATTAAAACTAATTTGGGGTAAGGAGAGACTGTGACATGACAGAAGATCTTGTTTCTTTATAGGTCCACGCAGAATCATTACAGCAGGTGGTTAAATCGCAGCGGGATGCAACTGAAGTCCTGCAGGAAGCAACTTGTAAAATAGCTCCTCAGCCAGCAGAGCCCGCCCGCTTCACCACAGATGCGGCATACCAAATCTGTGAGGTAAGAACCACCAAGAAGCCTTTTCCTGTTAGTTCTTTTTAATCAGTCTGAGTAACTTCAGTCTTTTATTGCAGTGCCTTGTACATTTAAGTGTTAGAGGCAGAAAAAACGATGGAGAAGAACTCTAAATTTCTGCCCTCGAGTAGACTTTTTTAAAAATATTGATTTTATTGTTGAATAATTTACAGTTAAATGTATCCATTTTAAGTATGCAGTTTGATGAGTTTTGACAAATATATAGATACCAATATCAATATATTTCTATGTCTTATCTATCCACTCCTATAAATACCACCATAATCAAATACAATATTTTCAGCACTCTAAAAAGTTCGCTCATGCCCGTTTGCAGTCAGTTCTCACCTCAGTCCCTGGGAGCCACTGATCTGTTTTGTATGAACATGTTTTATTTTTACCCAGAGTACCGTTACTACTGTACTGAGGACAAAGCTGTCCCTATATAGGATATCAGAATCTGTATATAGTTTGTTTATTTTAGCAGTTACCTGTTTAGGATTGTTTGTGAAAGGATTATTAAAAAGCCATGAACCTACTATATATTGAGTACTATAGGATTGTGCAAATCAGTATAAAGAAGAGTCTCCTTTCTCAAGAAAATTTTAGGCAGCATTAACAAAGATTTTAATAGCTTCGAGTCATCAAGGCAGTGATAGAATAAATACAAAGTGAATCATACATGCAGCATTGGCAGTAGTAGCTGAGAGTAGGGAAGATGTACTTCACCTTGTTGGTCAGAAAAGATTTCTAAAGCAGTAATTGAATTGATTCTTGAAGATTTAATTTTTGGTTTACTATGGTTTATTATATGACTTGGAGGTTTTTTGTCTAATTCGTAGACATATACAACTGGGTGAAACCTTAGAAATTATGCTATCTCTCTGTTTTTATAAGGAAGCCATTGAGACTTAAAGAATCTAAATAACTTGCCCACTTTGTCTGTTATGGCAAAGTTTGCTTGCTCTCAATCCAGTGATCTTTTCAAGACACTGTGCTCCATCTCTGTTCTTTTTTGACGTTGTCTTTCTGTATCTACTTTTGCTTTTTGTGTGTTCGTATTTAGATGACAGAGTTGACTCGAACTCACATCTCAGATGCCATTACTGCTTCAGGACCTCCCCTAGCAACGCTATATGACCACCAGCGGCAACACGCTCCAGACTTCGTGAAACAACTAAGGACCAGAACTGAAATAGATAGGTTAATATTCAATCACTAGGCAAATATGGGTTCTGGAAATATAGTTATGAGCATACAGTTTACTGGGGAAAATAGACATTAATCAAATTGTCACTTAAGTGAATGAACACTGTCTACTGAGGTAAGTGTTATAAAAGAAAGCAATGTGTGTTTCTGAGATATACAACAAAGGAAGGCCAGAAAAAGTTTTCCTGAGGAAGTAAAGCTTATGGTGAGACCCAGAGGATGAAAAGGAAGGAATTAGTGATATAAAGGAAGTAAGGAATAGACAGGTCAATACATGCAAAGGTGGGAAGAGAAACGAAGGAAGACCAATGGAACTGGAGGCAGAGAGCAAAGGGGAAAATGGTGGGAGAGACGATTCATGGATCATCGTGGTAGGGCCTTGCAGACCTTAAGGATTTGGGAGTTTATTCTAGAGCAATGAAAAATCATTAGGGAGTTTTTTTAGGCAGGGCTGGGTGATGTGATCATGTTTGTCTGTTTTTTTATATTACATTTTGACATCACATTTGATCCATAGATTTTTAGGTCTCTCTTCACATTCATTGATAACTTGGGTTGATTTGTGTTTATTTCTCATAGTAAAGCAGAAGATATTCTTTAATGTGTTATATACCCCTTTCTATGAATGAATGCTTTTCTTCCTCAAACTTTGTAACAATTATTTCATAATTTCTATTCAAGATTTTATCTCATATTAATGTTGAGCAGTACTTAAAATCTTTCAGTTATTAAAGGCTGTAAATGTTTAATCAGTTTTTATTTTCCTTTCAGGAAAAGTCCATCTGTTTCACTCTCTCACGGTAAAGAAGGGACCCTTGACTCAAAGCATCAGAAGTATTCACCTTCATATGATAGTTATTCTGAGTCTTCAAGATACAAGAATCACGATAGAAGGTGATAAATGGCTGAGACATGGCTTTTTTTTTTTTAATTTCTTAATCTCACTTCTTTAAATGAAATAGTATCTTCCTTTCAGAGTTCTGGCTTCCCTGATTTAATTAGCTGATTTACCAAACAGCTGTTCCATATAATAATATAGCTACCATTCCTTGAGAGCCTATATTGTACAAGCACTGTATAAGTTGTTTTTCCTACATTTAATCTTTACAGCAACCTCTCAAGACAGATATTATCCTCATTTTATAGATTAGGGAACAGAGACTCGTAGAGATGTTAAGAAACTCACCCAACATCACATAGATATTGGCACACCAAGGCATTGAACCTTGATTTATCTGGCTCCAAACCACATTGCTTTGCTGACATCCCTATTTCTCGGCGTTACTGTATATACTCATTTTTATTGTTATAAAAGAAGATTGAATATTTTGCCATTGGTACTTGGCACAGTATTAACATCTATAGTTTTCTGTTATGGTTCTGTCTGTGGATTAGAAGGTTTCAGAGACTACTTTCCACCATTCTTAGAGGTAGGATATTACATTGTCAGAGTGTAGTAAAACGTCAATTAAAAAAATGAAATCATAACACTAAAAAACATGAAAATTAATGTGGGGTAAGTACCAATAGTTACTGAGTGCCTACTATGTGTCTGGAGCTATGTGACCTTCATTTACCCTTCACTGACACCTCACTCAGGCCATCATCTGGGTTACCACAACAGACTCCTAATAGGTTTCCCCGTCCCCTAACCTTTCCCCACTCTATTCATTAACCACATGCTAACCAGAGTAATGTTTCTAAGATGTGTGGCTAGTTGTTTATTCACCTGGTCGAAATCTTCAGTATTCACTCTGAGACACTCAGTATAGCATGGAAGTCCCTTCATTATTAAGCTTTTGATCCATCTCCAGTTCTGTCTCTTGGCATTTTCTCTCTTATCACATTCCACTAGTTCTAACTACCTTCAGTTTTCTAACATTTGTCTTCTGTGCCATTGCATATCATGTGCCTTCTTTCTAGACCCTCCGCCTCCATTTCATTTAGTTTGCTTTTACTTTCCCTTCAAGAATCAGTGCTACCCCTAGTCTACTTTAGATATCCCTTCTGTGTTCTCCCACAGCACTCTGAATATTCTTCTCTATCCTTGTTCCTTTACTTATGGACTAGACTGGAAGATTTTCGAGATCTTCATTTTCATCACCCCAAATAGAAATCTTTTACCCATTGGCAGTCACTTCTTATGCCCCATCTTCCCCAGCCTCTGGTGACCACTAATCAATCTGCTTTCTGTTTCTGTTCTTTATGATTTTGTCTATTTTGGACATTTCTTATAAATGGCATCGTATAATGTGTGGTCCTTTATGACTGAATTCTTTGATTTGGCACAATGTTTTCAAGGTTCATCTATCATGTATCAGTACTTTATTCCTTTATATAGCCAAATAATATTCTATTGCATGGCTATACCACATTTTATTTATCCATTAGTTGATGGACATTTAGATTGTTTACTGTTTTGGGCTATTATGAATAGTGCTGCTGTGTACATTCATGTACAGATTTTTGTGTGGACATATGTTTTCATTTTTCTATATACTTAGGAGATGGTTGCTCTGTCATATAGTAACTTTTTTTTTTAAGAATTTCCAAATTATTTTGCAAAGCAGCTGCTCTAGTTTACATTCCCACCAGAAATATAAAAATTTTCATCTTCACCAACACTTATTATTGTCTATCTTTTTTTATTAACAGCTGTCCTAATGCGGACCATGTCATTCTTGTATCCCCAGAACTTAGCAAAATGCCTGGCACACAGTAGGCAGTCTACTTACTGCATGTTTATTGAGTGAATGATTGACATGTTACTAGTGGAAGAATTGAGATTAACTCCATATCCTTATGATTCCAAAGCACTTGCTGTTCCTGCATTATATCTTTTACCTTATAGCTTTATTATATGATTTATCCTTTCAAAAATATTAAACCAGACAAATAATTGCAAAATATTCTAATAAGTACTATCATAGGAACATACACAAACACACACAAAAACAGTATAAACACAGAGACAGAAGTGACCAAACCTTCCTTGGGAGTGGGAGAAAGGGTCCACAAGCAGAAATGATAGTTGAATTGAATCCTGAATTAGTAGTTCATTAGGCAGAGAGAGAAGGAAGAGCATTTCAGAAGAGGAAATAGTCTATGCAGAGGATCTCAAAACCTGGCTCATGATTGGCTATATGTGTAGCCGCCTCATTGTTTCCTCATTGGTTTCAGAGGGTGGAGCCACCTCCTTGGTTTCATTCATGAATGAATAAGCTAAGGAAAGCAAAGAGGGAGGAAGGAAAACACTGAACTTGAAAACAAGTTCACTAAGCATTTGGAAACTTGAGGCCGAAAGTCAGGGAAGGGCAGAGCTAGTGATGCATATTTGAGGCTTAATCTAAATGATAGTAGTGAAATTATAGGGATGCATAAGATTGCCCAAGGAGAGTATGTAGCATAAAAGAGAAAGGGACCAAAACCAAAACTCTGAGAAGCACCATTATTTTAAGGAAAAATAGAAAAGAAAGTGAAAAAAAAAAACACAGGAAAACTTATTAGGAAGGTAGGAAGAGAAGCAGTTGAGTAGAGTTAAGAAATAAAAGAGAGCTACTAAACTAACATTTGGTTTTGTAATTTTGAGTTTACAGAAAAGTTGCAAGAATAATACAAAATTCCCAAATAGCTTTCATCCAAATTGCCTTAATGTTAACATTTTATCGTAATTGCTTTAGCAAGCTTTTAAAGAAGGAGATAGAGGTCAACACCATCTAATGTCACAGAAAAAGCAATTTTCTATTGGATTTGGCAATTAGAGTTTAGAGTTTACCAAAACAGTTCCAGTAGAATAATTGGGATTGAAGTAGGTTGTGATAAATCGTGATATTGATAGAAAGTAAGGAAATGTGAAATAGCAAGTAGAAGTCTCTTTTCCCAGTGGCTTGCTTTTAAAATGGAAGGAAAAATGGGAGTGATAGCCTGAGAATAGTGGTTGCCCATCATGACTAAGTGTGAAACCTTCCTCTCCTACTCATCTTTTCTAAAAGTTTCTTCTCAGACTTATGTCTGCTTAGCATTTTTGTTTTATAGTATAACTTTCATCATTTTATATCTTGATCATAAGGCACATTCCTTATTTTGTCACTTTTGTTTTTGGTTTATTTCTTTAATATTCGTAAACAGAAGTAGTAGCGGTAGCAGCCGTCATGAAAGTCCTTCAGTTCCATCTTCTAAGGAAAATGAGAAGAAACTTCATGGTGAAAAGATGGAGAGTTTCATTGATGAACAGGTGCAGACTGCTGCGGATGATTCTCTGCGAAGTGACAGTGTACCTTCTCTTCCTGATGAAAAAGGTAACTTTCCTTGCACATATATGTATAAAATTATTTGTTTTGTCAGGCTTACAGAGCCCTTTGAGATATTTGTGGCTGAGCTAGTTAATGTAATTAGAATATGGTGATAATGAAGACAAGGCCAAGATAGTAAAATGTGTCCAGGTGAAACTCTTTCAAGGCCATACACAATATGCCAGGAACCCTTGCCAATATTTTATATGATTGTCATGATCTTGAGGGCAGGCATAACTAAACCTAGGAAAACATGAATGTGAATGAAAACTATAAACTCAACACTGAAAAAAAATTACTTTTATCCTATTGTAGATAAGTAACATAGTCGTAAAAAGAATATATTATTAGAACTTTACATTTAAACTGTAATAAGGGTACAGTTTCTTATAAACAATGATAACATCAGATATAATAATAACTATATTAAAGTTCATTACTTAACTCTTTCTAGAATACAGCAAAAGCTGTATTCCTGTCAGGTCATGGGCAGTAAATAATGTAACAAAGAAAACAAAATCTGGCAACAAATGGCACCTTTAAGACATTAAGTCAGAATATTAAAGCCCTCCATTCTATAATTTATTTTCTTAAATAACTGGCTCTTAAACAGTGTTTTTGATTGATTGTGTAAAACCGTAGTCTTCAAAGCAGATGGACAAGATTGTCTTTGGAATGCAAGAAGAAAATAGTTAATTTTTCTCATCCTTTAAAAATATGTTTTGTAAATTTTATAATGACTATAATATGTGGATGTAGCAGTCTTAATTATGGCAGCCCTAGCTGATTAGTACAGATCTTGGTACTGAAAAGTAGATTGCTTGTTTAACACATATTAAAAATGTAGAAGTGGCTTTAGAACTAGCTATTCAGTAGAGGCTAGAAGAGTTTTGAGGTGCATGCTGGAAAAAGCTTACGTTGCTTTGCAGACACTGTTGGTAGGAATATGGACGTTGCAGGTGATTCTGATAAAGTCTGATAAGATGGAAATAAGGACCGTGTTGGAAGCTGGAGGAAAGGTGGTTCTGGTTTTAAAGTGCCAAAGAACTTGGCTGAACTGCTCTAGCATTTTGTGGAAAGTGGAAGTCAAAAGTGAGAAGCTTGGATATTTAGCTAGGAAAATCTCTAAGCAAAGTGTTTGAAGACATTCCCTATTTTTTCCTTACTTCTTATAGTAAAATGTGAGAGGAGAGATAAATTGAAGGATTTGTTAAGCAAAAAGGAACCAGAACCTAAAGATTTGGAAAATACTAAGCCAATCCATATCGTAAAAAAATGAGAAAGCATGTTCTGGAACAAGGGTGTGACTGGACTGTCACTCCATAAAAAGATCACTCATGGATTTAATCAACCATCTCAGCCAAAGCCAGGAATAGAGATGGCAATATGCCAGTAGACACTGCTAATTTGGATTGGAGAGCAAGAGATGGGATGAAAAATAGGAAAGCTTCAGACTTCTGGGATTCTATGGATGAGACAGTAGAGGTATCCAGCTGCAAATATGCCTTATCCTTTAAGAAAAGGGAAAAATGACCCTGAAGGTGATTCCGATATCAACAGGGCAGCCACCACAGGCCCAGGGCACACAAGCCCAGGCAGCAAGGCTGTCGTGTTGGTTTCAGAGAATGGGGCCACCTCTTTGGTTTCAATTGTCCAGGCTGTTCCTGCTTAGGACCCCAGGAGCAAAGCTGCTGCCAATGGCCAAGGAGTATGGATGCCGCTCAGGGGTGAGGGGATAAGGCCACCGCAGTGGGCCTAGAAAACATGGCTGATGGCCTGGTGGGCCAGGAGGGCAAAACATTGAGCCAAAAATGAAATATTCTTAAGCCTTAAGATCTAATGGAATTTGTCCCACTAGGTTTTGGACTTGCTTGAGACTCGTCCTTCTTTTCAATTTCTTTGTTTTGGAATAGAATTGTCTGCTCTGTGCCTGTCCCACCATTGTATTTTGGAAGTACATAAGAGGCCTTGTTTCACAGGTTCACAGCTAGAAAGGAATTTGCCTCAGGATGAATTCTACCTTAAGTCTTCACTCATACCTCGATGAGACTTTGGACATGTAGTTGATGCTAGAATAGATTAAGACTTTTGAGGCTGTTGGGATGGAGCGAATGTATTTTGCATGGAAGAAGGAACAAATTTGGGGGAGCTAGAAGGTGGAATATTATGAACTGAATTGTGTCCCCTCAAAATTCTTATGTTGAAACTCCTAACTTCCAGTGTGATAGATAAGCCCTTTAAGGAGGTAATTAAGGTTCAGTGAGGTCATAAGGATGGGCCTCTAATCTAATAGGACTGGTGTCCTTTTAACAAGAGCAAAAGGTTACCAAGTGTGCCCATGCACAGAGAAGAGGCTTTGTGTGAGAACACAGAAGAAGGTATCAGCCTGCAAGCCAAGGAGAAACATCTCACCAAAAAAACCAACCCTGCTAGCACCTTGATCTTGGATTTCCAGCCTCTCAAACTATGAGAAAATAAATTTCTGCCACCCAGTCTGTGGGATTCTGTTATGGTGGCCCAAACAGACAAATAGCAATAGTTTATAAATATTGAGACAGGCTCATTTTTTTAATTGATAGGTATACATAATCAAAAATATTTTATGAACTACTGGATTAAAGACTAATGAAATTCATTTTAGGATCAGACTTCATAATGACAACTTCCATATCATGAGAGAAATAAAGCATATAGGAAAATAATAGAGAAATTATCTATTAAGTTTTTCCTATAGGAAGAATTTAACCTCTGCTAAATTTTATCTTAATAATAGTCTTTATAATTAAAGTACTGATGACAGATTTAATTATAGATAATGTCTGTGGGCCTCAGAAGGACAGACAGTAACCATGTGTGACTTGATAATGCTGTATTTCAAGTGTTTATCATGGTGCCTGGCCTCCAATAACTGAATAAATAATTGTCAAGTGAAATGTCATGAACTGTGACTTTTCGATATATTTAAATTCTTTAAGAAATATAAATTTAAATTACTTGGACTTTTACTTCTGGCCACAGTGGAGGAATAGGACCAAATTTACCTTCCTTCCTAAAATATCAGACAAGACATATAAAATAACTATTTTTAAGACATTGGATATCAGGCAGTGAATGATACTGATTCGTGAGAGACGGGAAACAGTTGAGATGAGCATTGTGCTTGCCCCAGCGAACTGCCTGGAGGGAGTTTCAAGACTGCAGAGCACAGAGCCCAGCAGTCACCCTGATTTGAAGAAGTAAGTGGACTTTAGGAAGGAGTCTAAGGTGGCATGTCACAGGGCTGTCAAGATCCAGTGAAATTAAACTATTAAAAAAACAGTATAAAGAAGAAAACATAGGACAAAATCTAGATTTTTAGATATAACACCAAAAGAAAGAACAGTCCATGAAAGAAAAAATTGATAACTTGTACTTTGTCAAAGTTAAAAATCTCTGTGAAAGACATTAAGAGAATAAAAGATAAGCCACAGACTGTTACAAAATATTTGTAAATCTCAGATAAAGGGCTTACATTTAGAATGTGTAAAGGACTCAGAACTGAGTGAGAAATCAAGATCCTAATTTAAAAAATGTGCAAAAGCTCTAAACAGTCACTTCATTGAAGAAAAAATACCAGTGGTAAATAGACATAGGAAAGGTCTTCAATATCACATGTCATTAGGGGAATGAAAATTAAATCATCAAATTGGTGGTAAGGATGAAAATGGAAAATGGTACAGCTACCTTGGAAGACTTTTTCACAGTATTTTATGTAATGACCCAGCAATCACATGCATAGGTATTTACCCCATAATTTGAAAACACATGTCCACATAAAAACCTATAATTAACGTTTATAGCACCATTATTTCTAATTACTAAAAATTGGGGGCAACAGTAAGATGCCTTACTAGAGGAGTGGATAAACATACTAGTAAATCGGTACAATGGAATACTATTCAATAATTAAAAGAAACAAGTTATCGATTCATGCAAAAACATGAATGAATTTTAAGTGAATTTTACTAAGCGGAAGAAGCCAAGCCCAAAAGGGCTGCATATTGTATTATTCCATTTATATGAAATTCTGGAAAAGGCAAAACTATAGGAGTGGAAAACAGATTAATGGTTCCTGGTGTTAGTGGAAGAGGAAGGACTCACTACAAGCAGATGCACAGGAGAACTTTTAGTGTGAAGCAACCGTTATATAAGGTATTGTGTATTCTATATGGTTCTGTATGTACTGTATGTATATACTTTTGTCAGAACCCTAGAATTATACATCACAAAGAATAAACTTTCACATATGCTAGCTAAACACATATCAACCAGGATGTGAGGGAGTTCCAGGGTGGAACACAGCCTGTGACAGATTAATCTAATTGTATTACAAATATCTGGCATAACCACACTGAACTGGGTAGAGGGAAAGGAGCTGACCTGAGTAACTTTGGAAAGTTGTATTTTTGAGTGGAAATTGTAAGCCTAAATACAAAAGGAACTGTATAGAAATACTGTTTTGTTTTTTTTCCCCACAGGGGTACAGGCTAACAATTTTTTTACATATATGTTGGGGTTGAACAAAAAAGTACGTAACTGGAAGTTGGATGGTGTGAGCCAGGTTTCTCAGTGTTGGAGAGGGAAGTTATAGATACATAAGAAAGGGAGACTGAAAATGAAATCTGTGGTACTGGCTAGTCAGAAACATCAGTGTGAATCCCTGTTTGGGTGGGTGGATGGACGGATGGATGGATACATACAGGAAAGAATGTGTGTGTATGGATTGTTATACATGCATATGTTACATAGCTCTGTCTATTGATAGAGTAAAGAAGCAACTAAACCTCAGTAATAACAAGGACAACCAGTGCCCAGATTGTGGTTTCTAAATATTCTCCAATAAAAGAAACCAGAGCTCTTAAGAGAAATGACTGACTTTAGGATTGGGAAGGGAAAATACAAAATGAGCTTGTGAAGGCATCTTGTATCAGAAACTGAGGATGTTCAGTAAACAAAAGGATTGTTGGAGTGGCATGTCAGAGGCACACAGGAGCCAATTTAAAAGAGCTGTCTTGTTTTTAATTAAGCATGGAATTGATGAGTTCTAAAATTTTTAAATTTGCGTTTGATTATTAGTAACATTAAACTTTTTAAAACTTTATTTTAGCTATTTGTATTTGCTTTGTGAAGCATCTGATCTTGACTATTTCTCAATTTTCTATAAGGTATTAGTTTTGGAATCAGCTTGTAAGAGCTCGAGAAGTACATTACACTTTTACCATATTTCTTGTACTGGTATTTTAGAGGTTTTTTTTCCTTATTTGTAAGCTAAATGAACTTTAAAAAATTTCTTGCTTATTGCTAGTGATCAGTTCTATGAATTTATGCTATGTTGTCTCATTAAGAGGCAGCAAGTACTACTAATTGAGTACCTACTGAAAACTGTTATGATAGATGATAAAACCGGCTCCACATTCTTTTAGATTCAACTTCTATTGCAACAGAATATTCCCTGAAATTTGATGAATCCATGACAGAAGATGAAATAGAAGAAAAATCATTTCGATCTTTACTGCCTTCTGAGAGTCATCGCAGATTTAACATGGAAAAGAAGAGAGGCCATCATGATGACTCTGATGAAGAAACTTCCCCAGAAAAGACTATACTGTCTTCTGCCAAGGTGTGTTTCAGTTTACCTTTGGAGATACTTCATAAATAGCTGTGAATGTGTTCTCTTAAAGGTATAAGGATACGTTTTGTACTTGAACTCAACTGTCAGCTACCAGAATGATTTTCCTAACATGTCAGTTTTATGTTATATTTTTGCTGTAGAACCTGGCTTCGCTTTCCTTACAACGTAGAATACAAACTTATTCCTTGGAATGATGTATAAGGCCTTTGAGGATCTAAGCCAAAGTTATCTCTTTAGCTTTTTCACTTGCTTCACTCTTTAAAAACTTTATTCCATTTAAAAATTTATATCGTTTTTCTTACTAAATTGTAAGCCTTTTGGATAGCAGGGACAAATTCTTACCCCGTTTTTATCCCTGGGACATTTGTACCAGGCTTACAATAGTTGTTAAAATTTTATTGGCTGAATAAATAAGCAGGTGAATGTTACTCCCTCCCTTGTGCCTTTTTTGAAGAATATTCTTTTACATGGCTAGCAACATTTTACATTGACTTTTATGAATTTATTTTTATAAGTGCATACCTCTTTTAATGAAGTTAATTAAGTTCCAAAAGGTTTAGATGGTGACAAACTAAAAACAAACTCTCTACTTTAGGAACTGAGCATGCCATTCTCAGGAGGACAAGATAGCTTTTCTAAATTTACTATGGAGATGGTTCGACAGTATATGAAAGAAGAGGAAATGAGGGCAGCTCACCAATCTTCACTCTTGCGTCTCCGTGAAAAGGCCTTGAAGGAGAAAACAAAGGCTGAATTAGCCTGGTTAGAGCATCAGAAAAAGTAAGTTCTTTCGGTGAATGTAGTTTTCACTGTTCAATTTCTCCTTTCATTAAAGGAAATGCTTTATTTTTAAAAATATTTTTGTTTCCTCGTTTAATTTGATTTGATCACCTCAGTTAAACAAGCTAGAAATATGCTAGCCATCCTTGAATCATGTTGCTTTCAAGACCTACTCATAAAACATTTTCCTTGCATTTTTCTTTTATCACTTAACTGGCTCTTATGTTATTTTGGACTGAGTTTCCTTATCATGTTGTAAACTTCTTAAAGTTATTTTCTCTTTAAAGGACACAGTCTGGGGTTCACATATGTGATAAACACCGTAAAATAATTATTGGGATAGAAATTGTTGCACGCCACCTTTTCCACATTTGAAAATGTTTATTTGGTTTAGAGACTTTTTAGTGGTTGAGAATTCTTGACATTAAAAATAGGCATTTAATCTAATCTTTGCCTCAATGGGAAATATTTACAGACATCTGCGAGACAAGGGAGAAGATGATAAAATGCCCCCACTACGGAAGAAACAGCGTGGTTTGCTTTTAAGGCTCCAGCAAGAAAAGGTATGTTAGGAAAAATACTCCTTTAAGAGAATTTATTAAGGCCAGTTAAATTGTGGAATCTATTGTTTTGCCTAATCTCTTTTTATTATCACCTTAAATGAGATTTAATCGATTTTTAACACTGTTAGTGCCCATACTACTATAATTATAGGAGTTGCTTGGTAGTGTACCATATTTCTCCTAAATTAAGATTATGTGTCACTGATAACTTAATACAATATAGAGTCAAACTTTCTGCCTTCATTTAGTATATGAAATAAAATAATCCTTTAAAAAGCTTATTTTAAAAATTAAGATATTTGTAAAAGAGTCTATTTCGGTTAAATTTTTAGTCATTTTTCCCACATAAATTTTCAACACAATTACAAATTGACTTTGGACTCAGAAAGACCTGGTGTTTGACTTCTGGAGAGACAACATGGCATAGTGGTTGAGAATTCAGGCCCTAGTTAAAATCCCTAGGTTAAAATCCCAAGTCAATGAATTATTAATTTCATAACTTTGGACAAATTACTTAACTTCTCTGTGCCTCGGTTTCCTTATCAGTAAACTGAGGATAATAATGATACCATACTTTGTAGGGGTCTTTTGAGGAATAAATAAATGGATTAATACAGATAATAAACTTAGAGCAGCCCTTGGCACAATGGTGAGTGCCTAATAAATGTTAGTTTTTATTTGAATTCCAGCTTTGTCACTTCCAACTTTGTAATCATGGTCAAGTTTAAGTAACTCTCTGAGACTTAATTTCCTCATCTGTAGGAGTAAGATTATACTTCATATGGTGATTATGAGGATTAAATGAGGTCACATATGTAAATGTGTTTCACGTTGCCTGCTAAGTATTAAATAGATTTTAGTTTTCTTTTTCTCTATTGACTTGTTGCTAGGTAGTAGCTACTATGTTAGATGAATTTGATCATTTGAGTTACATATGGGATTTTATCTAAATAACTTTTTTAAAAAAGTTTGCATAGGAAACATCACTGATCATGTTAACTTGAAAAAAATCTCAACTTAATTTTTTTAAAAAAATAAGTTATATTTTTTAATCCATAAAAATTGGTTTTAAAATAACTTAAAATTCTTTTTTAGTTTATATAAGTAAAATTTTACAGTGTTATAATAGCTTTCTGTTTGTAAAATAGAATAAAAACTAGATTTACGGGTATTTTCTCTCATTCTGTGCAGTTATGTTTTTACTTTAAAAGTGTGCTTTGAAGCACACAGCTTTTAATTTCAATGAATCTATTATTTTATTGCATGCCTGATGATAACACATTTATTTTTGTTAATTTGAAAATGTATTTTTCACCTTCATTTTTGAAGGATATTTTTACTGGGTGTAGAATTATTTTCAGCATTTTTATTGATATCAGTTTCCATTGTCTACCAGTTTCCATTGTTTTTGTAGAGAGGTCAGTTTTATTAATGTTCTTTTGAAGGCTGTTTTTAAGATTTTGAAAAGATGTGTCTTTGATTTTTTGGTAGTTTTACTATGATGTGCCTGGGTGTGGTTTCTTTTGTATTCATACTATTTAGGGTTTATTAAGCTTTTCGAATCTGTTGTTCATTGTATTTACTCAGTTTTGGAAAATTATCTCTTTGTGTGTTGCTTCTACACCATTCTCTCCTTCCTTTCCTTCAGAGGCTCAGAGCAGACGTTGTTAGACCCTTTGACTGTTTGCCACATCTCTTGTCCACTGTTTTGTTCTTATATTACTCTTTAAAACAATAAAAAAAAACTGTGTTTCAGTTTGGAGAGTTTTTATTGACCTATGTTTGAATTCATTAATTATATGTTCTGCACTGTCATGTGTACTGTTAAATCCATTTGATGAGTTCTTGATTTTTTTCAGTTCTATAATATTAATTTTGTTCTTTTTTTATAGATTTTAATTCTTTGTTGAAATCCAGTCATTTTAATTTCCTTGTCTGCTAACTAATATTTGGACAGCTTGTGTTGCTACTATTGTCTGTTTTTATTATCATATGATCCTTTTTGCATGCCTAGTAATTTTTTAATGATTGCTGGACATTGTGTATAAATAACTGCAAAGGCTCCAGATGATATTATCTTTCCCCAGTGGGGATCTATCCTTTCCTCTGCTATGCAGTTAGAGTGTTCAGCTATTCAGTTTAATTCATTTAAGGGCAGAGCTGGCTTAGCATTGGGTTGCAGAGTTGGTCAGCATCAGTCTCCTACTTTGCATTGACCCTAGGCTGTGACCGTCCAGGGATTGTAAAAGCAAAGGAACCCTTTTTTTTTTTTTTAATCAGCACAAAAGATAGTGGGGATTGCTGCTCTGTTGTTGAGAAGTTTTAGGTTTAGCTCCTTAGACTTCTCTCTGTGTTGCTTCAGAAGTGGCAAATATAGGGAGGGGGAGACTGTGAGTTTGAAACCTCTTAAGTCTCTACTTTTGCCACTCTAGTCTGTGTAGCTAGTAGAACTGTTAAGAGCAATTTGACTATATCTAGTTAAGCTGAAGACATGATCTATGACTTAGCATTTCTACATCTTAGTATATATTCTAGAGAGGCTTTCACACATATACAGGGGAAAATTAAAACAACTTAATTTCTTTAGTAGGCAAATGAAACAAAGCATATTTCTGTATGAAAATATAATGCTGCAGGAAAATGAATGTATCAGATATCAGCACTGAATAATAGAGATTTATGAAATGATGGTAATCTTTTGTATCTGTGTTATCCAATACAGTAGCTACAAGCCACATGTAGTTTTTGAATACTTAAAATGTGGCTGGTACAACTGAGTAACTGAAATTTGAATTTTGTTTAATTTTAATGACTTGATTTAAATAACTACATCTAGGTAGTGACCACCATTTTGAACAGTACAGCAGTAGATTTCCATTCATCAAAAATCATAAAATTGGTTTTTATAGAAAAGCAAGATGCAAAAGCATATGTACAGTATGATAACATTATTTTAATTTTAAAAAATCACCAATTGGTAAATATATGTTCTGTGGAATCACTCATGCATCAAAAGCACACAAGCACAAGTAGGAATGCTGTACTTCTGGGGAGGAAACGGAAGAAGAGATTGGAAGAGTTTAATTTCATCTATGATGACTGATTTTTTAAAAAGAGATTTGAAACAAATATGGGAAACTATTCAGTCCCAGTGGTAGGTGTTTGAGTGACTGATTTTTCTGCATATTATGTTTGTAGAACTTTAGAATGTTTTTTAGGTAGATGTGCAAAAAATACTCTTTGATCCAACTGGCTACCCCTAAAAAGTTACCCTACAGAAATAAAAGCACCAGAGTATAAAGATATATGTACTAAGATATTTATTGCAGTTGTATCAATAAGAATTATTTTGACTGGTAACGATATGGCTATAAGCAATTTGGCCACAGATCTTTGCATAACTGTATTCATGAAAGAGAACATATTTTCTTATGTCTTATTCTTCTTTTTTCCGGAGAAATTCACATAACAAAATAACCACTTTAAAGTGAATAATTCACCTATACCATTAACCATTTTAAAGTGAACAGACTTTTAAGAGAGAAGCAAACCTATTCCCCCTGGAATCCCCTTGAAAAAGTCTCTCCTCCTAGGCTCAGATCGGGTGAATTTATATATTAATTTGTTCAGAAACTCAGGCCTGAGCTAAGTAGCAGTTTTCAAAATGTACTCTTTGGAACTGTGGAGGTCCCTGTGTCAGGGGGTGAAAACTATTTTCATAATGATAATGGAATATGAATTTGCCCTTTTCATGTGATGCATTTTCACTAAATGGTGCAAAAACAATGGCAAGTAAAACTGCTGGTGTCGTTGCACAAATTTGGGCATTGGCACCAAATTGTACTAGTAGTCATCATATTTTTCACTGTCACACACTTATAGCTAAAAATAGCTAGTTTCACTGAAGAATGTCCTGGTTAGGTAGTAAAAATTATTAATTTTACTAAGTGCTGACCTTTGAGTACTTGTTTTCACATTCTGGGTGACAGAAATGGGAAGCACACATTAACCACTTTTGCTAGATACCAGAGCACAGTGATTATTCACTCAGGGAGAAGTGTTTATGCTGTTGTTTGAATTCCAAGCTGAACTAGCTGCATTTTTAATGGAATACCATTTTTACTTGAAAGAATTATTCAGAGACAAAATTATTCAGATAAATTTGGGTATTTGGCAGTCATTTTCTCAAAGATGAGCTTAAGGGCGCCTGTTACTTTAAAGACGGCAACTGACAGTATTTGTTGCCAATGATAAAATTCAAACTTCCAAGCAAAAATCAGAATTTCAAAAATTTCTATCCACTACCCAGTACAATACTAAAGAACTTTTCTTGTGATATTAATGAATATGATTTTTGATACTTTATAATAAAATGTATCAACATTTGTAAGATCTGCATAAGTCATTGAACCAACATTTTCTGAATGACCATTGCATGATGTTTAAAAGATCAAGACAGGCAATAAAGAGGTTCACAGAACTCTAAATACTATTCTCTACACTAAATTTTATTTTGCTTTGGAAAATACATTTGTTTTCTTAAAAATACATATAAAATCCCATCAGAGAATGCGAATGAAAAAAGGCAAATAATGTTTTAGTTATGAAGACAGTTTGACCCCAAGAGACTCTGAAAGGATCTTGGGGATCACAAAGGGTATCCATGAACCATACTGCAAGAACTGCTACTCCAGAGAAACTCGTGTATGTGCCCAAGGAGACAAAAATATAACGATGATCATTGCAGCATTGTTTGTAATAGTAGACAACAACCTTATCCAGCCATAGGGGTAATGGATAAATTAAATATATGCACCTCCTATGTAATTTTGTGCAGCATGTAAGTATAAGTAAACATGGAGAGATATCAAAAGTGATGTCTAGTAAATAAAGCAAGATTGAAAATACATATGTGTATTATTTATAAAAATTTGAAAACGTGCAAACCAAACAGTATGTTATTTTGCAGATAAGTACAAATATCTGTAGAAGAATTTTAAAAGAACATGTGGAAGGATATTTGCCTTCAGAGTGGTTACCTCTAAAGAGTTGGGGCAGATAATTGCAGACTGATTTTATCAGTAATGTTTAATTTCTTTATGAAATTAAAGACTAGGAGGAAATATGACGGACTATTAACAATTGTTTGTTTGGAATTTTGGAAATTAGATGTTTATTGTGAACTATTCTGCATTTTCAGTTTCAAAAAAATCTCTCAAACATGATTAAAAGAAATTACAAGTAACAAATTATTAATGCCTTTATTATGCTTTTTTATTGGCAAGAAAATGGGTTAAAATAAATGTATGAAAAAGACAGCCTCTGCTAAATTTTAACAGTTATTAACAGTGAAATATATCACCTTTTGCCCATTTACTAATGACTTGTATGGAGAGAGTTCGGTGCAGTGTAGTTGTAAATGTTTCTGGTGGCATTTATTTAAGTGGAGACAATTCCCTTTTCAAAGCAGTTTTAAAAACTATTTTAAGGGCCATAAAAGGATTCATTCTCTTTGACTTATTTGGCCTACTTTTTGGAATGTCTCCTAAAGAACTAATCCATAGAATGAAACAGTTATAGACATTAAAGCATTATTAGCCATGGTAAAAAAATTATAAAGGGCATAAGAGATTAGCAATAGAATATTAGTTACATTAACTAGTTTATTTGATATGCAGCTTTTAAACAATTAAGTGTAAAGACTGAGAAGCATGTGAAGGGTGTATTAAGTTTTAAAAGGGGATAGGAAATCATCAGTCTGTTGTAATTAGAATTATTTAAATGAAGGGATCAAGTCATTATTTTAGAGTGGAGTTATGTGACTCTTTTTTTCTTTTCAATGTTAGTACTTTTATTTTGAAGTACTTTATGTTTATTTTTTTATGTGTGATGATTGGATTTTTAAACTATTTAGACTTGCCTCCTCCAAATCTCAATCCCTTTCCTAACTCTTTAAACCTTAGGCAGAAATTAAACGTCTTCAAGAAGCCAACAAGGCAGCTCGGAAGGAAAGACAACTGATTCTTAAACAGCAGGAGGAGATAGAAAGGATCCGACAGACTACCATAAAACTACAGGAGAAGTTAAAGTCTGCAGGGGAGAATAAATTGGTAAATTACATGAAATTATTATTTTTTTGTTTCTGCCTCATGCTGCTTGCTTATACCTAACCCTGCTTCACCTTCCAGTATTATGAGCATGTTCATTCTAGCACTGTGATACAGTAGTGAACTAGAATAAATTTTTATATATGTCTTTAGATGTAGTGAGAATTTTTTGGTTTTTGGTTTTTTTACCGTGGAATATTAAAGTTTTGAAAGGGACTCATTGTTTGCCATATATTAGTTTAAAAGTTTTCCATTTATAAACTCCGTTGGGACGGAGAGCCTTGTTCTTTCTTATCAACCCAGTTATATTCCTTAGAATTAATGAGAGAGACTACTTTTGCTTTTTATATTATACTTATTTCAGCTATCCACTGTTAATATTAATGATACCTGGTTCAAAGGAGATACTCAGACAAAAAGAAAATTTGGATCTATTCTAAGATACTGTAAAGTTTCAATATAGCTAGTGTTGGAAAACCCAGAATGTACAGCAGTTAAATAAATCTCTAATATTCTCTGCTTTGATTTTTAAAATACACTTTAAATTTTGAAACAATCTTAAGTTTATAGAAAATTTCAAACAGTATAGAGAAGTCTTTTCTTGAGTTGAGAGTATGTTGCTAACAATTAACATTGATACATTACTACCATTTAATCTACAGACCTCATTCAAGTTTCTCCAATTGTCACAATAATGTTCTTTATATCAAAAGGTAAGTTCAAAATCACATATGGCATTTAGTTTTCATGTCTCTTTAGTCACTTTCAGTCTGGAAAAGTTCTTTGATTCTCATGACTTTGACACTTTGGAAGATTAGATGCCAGTTATTTGAAGAATGTTCTTCGACTTGGTTTGTGTGATTTTTCCTCATAATTAGATTCAGATTGTGCATCTTTGGCAGGAATGTCAAATAAGCGATGCTGCATTCTTCTCATTGCATTTGATCAGGTTTTGGTTTATCCCATTCCTTATGATGTTGACTTGATCACTTGATTAAGGCGGCATCTGCCAGACTTCATTGTAAAGTTATTCTCCTTCTTCTGTAATTAATAAATGCTTTGCATGGAGGTATTGAGACTACATAAATTCCTGTTTTTCATCAAACTTAAATTTATTCTTTTATTTATGTCACTATAGACTCTGGATTCTTATTTTACTTAGTATTATAATCCCTTACTATCATTATTTGTTTTGATGCCCACTCTGTCCCAAATTGGGCCATTAGGAGCCTCTTCCATTAGGTGTCTGTGTCCTTTTTGACATGTCCTCATCAGTCTTTGAGCACTTCCATATTTTTGAAACAAGGTATTTCAGGGTCATCTTGTACTTGGCCTGCCCAGCCTTAGAATTAGCCCTTTCTCCAAGGAGGAAAGTTACTTAGAAACGAGGATCTGGTGCTAGGCATGCTCACTGCTGTTCAGATTTTGCTCCTCCTAAGCAGCAGTCTAGGGAATATGTGAGTATATGTTGCTGTAGATACACACATACATTTTACAAGCATATTTATTCCATATGCGTATACACACATACTATACGTGTATCATGAGTTCATACTGACAAAGCAGGGCTTCATACTGATCCTTTCAGTTTCGGTACAGCACAACAAGGTTCATTCGAGTTTTCTCTCTTTTGGAACTTCCTTCTCTAACAGATATTTGACTAACATTTTCCTTAATATAGTTAATGATTTGATCATTCCTCCTATGTAACTAACCTATCTTCCATAACCATGCCATCTCCTTCCTCTTATGGGTGTCCTTCTCACCCCACCTAGGCTCTGACTCCCTAAGTCAGGCTATTCCCCTTCCCTATGCCCCTTCTCTATACCTTCCTTACCTTCTTGAGACTCTGTTCTTTGGGAATCCCACCTCACTCTGGGCTTAAGATTTGCTGCATAGGTCACTCCCGTGTGGACATCCTCATTGCCCCACCTGGGCTCTGACATCCTGCATTAGATGCCCTCAGCCCACTCAGGTTGGGACACCCCATTTTTAGCCCCTTTGTCTTTCTCCATCTTGTTCTGTTTCATCTAAAATTTTAAGACTGAATTATTCCAGAAGGAGAAAGGGAAGGAGAAGAGCTCTGCTTTGTATTGTTCACAAAATGGAAACAGCCATGATTGTTCCTACCTATCTTTCTGAAAACTTGAGAGAATAATCGACAGTTTATGGGAAAGTCTTACTAAGCCATTAAAGTTTTACTTTTGATCATTAGAAATAATGTATTGATAAAACCAGTGGTTTCTAAATGTTTTCATTATAAGCTTTTTAATTTGTGAAAATATTGTTCTGTATAAGAAATACTTAAAGAAAAAAGATCCATCTGTCAGCCTAATGAAAATAAGTTATGTGTCTCCTTCATTCTTTGTGTCTGTACATATATGTTTTATATAGTTATGATAGCTGTAATTTTATATTTCTTTTGAGTGGTTCAGTTTTTTAAAATTAGGATAGTTAGATACTAGATTACTAGTAGCAGAAGTTTTTGATTTTTTTTTTTACATCTTAAAAAAATTATTACACTTTGTGATTATATATAAATATGTGTAAAATATACATAACGTAAAATTTATATTTTAGCCATTTTTAAATGTGTGATATAATTTTGTCCTTTAAGTAATACCTTAATTTCAGCTACTTTACAAATACTGTTTTGAAGATACACTTAATTTTGAAGTGACAGTGTAATTTTGAAGTGACAGTGTTTATGATCACTTTGAGATCTTAAATTCCAGTAAAATTTTAACACTTTATTCCCTTCTGTTTGCAGGATTCTCATAGTGATGACGATACAAAAGATAATAAAGCAATCAGTCCTGGTCCAGCTGACTTAGAGACCCGCAGTCCCTCCCCCATTTCAATCTCCAGCAGTGAAACTAGCAGCATTATGCAGAAACTGAAGAAAATGAGAAGTCGCATGGATGAAAAGTAATTCATTTTTATAAATATCTCCTGTTTACATTGAAAGTAGTAGCAACAAATAATACTTTTAATGTAATTCATTCAATTAGATTGATACAACATAGTATTTTATGGATTCAGTAGCATTTTAGCAGAACTGTTAAATCAGTCTAGAAGTCAATTACCTATAGATCTTATTTATAAAACAAATTTTCTAGTTTTAATACAGCCAGTTTTAATACTTAAAAACTGAAGTGGTATTTGCACATATACCTGTGATGATATTTTCTTCTTTTATTAAAAGTTATGAGTAAGTGTGAAGTTTGTACCTTCTCTGACATCTGAGGACATGTCTACTGACTTGGGGGAGCAATTAATGGTATATCGTAAGATCTCTCTACAGCTGTCAGCCTTATTCAATATCAAATAGAAGAGTGAAATTCAGCTTTGTGAGAAAGTGTGGATTGCTCAGTTAAAACCAGAAAGACTGAAATTCTCCTGGGACGTTGAATGATTTGGCATTCTACCATTCTTCTAAAACATTTCTAAGTGTTATTTTTTTAAAGGCTCTTTTAAAGAAAGCTACTCCTACTTAGATGTAGCTTAGTTGTACAGTGGCTTTGACCATGTAAAATGACGTTTACGTGAGAGCTTACTCTTTTGGGTGTACATTTAATTAAACACGCTTGTAGATTAGCTACTTGTGGACCCTTTCTTTGACTTTATAAACCCCTACCTTCTTTAAATATGGAAGAGAGCTCCATTACAGATTTTTGTTGACTGCCATTTTATTTTAGGTTAGAAATTTGGACCACAGATTGAACTTAAAAAGTTGTCTCTTAATATCCATTGGCAGTGTACCACACATCACCAAATTTAACAATGCTCTATATTCATATGTGGCATCAACCTATGTTTTAGTTTCTTTTTTAAAAATTAATTAAGTTTAATTAGTTTCAAGTATACAGTACATTGGTTAGACATCTATATAGTTCATAAAACGATCCCCCTAGTTACTCCCTCCCTCCCCTGGCCCTCCACCAAGCCATCATATTAATGCTAACTGCATTCCTTCTGCCGTGCCCCCCATCCCCATGACCATCTATCATCAACTACTAATTTGTACTACTTTAACCCTCCCAACCCCCTCCCCTCTGTCTGTCACCAAATTGTCCACTATATTTGTGAGTTTGTTTTTAATTAGTTTGTTCTTTTTGTTCCTTAGATTCCACATATGAATGAAATCAAATGGTTTTTATTTTTCTATGTCTGACTTATTTCAGTCAGCATAGTAACCTCTAGGTCCATCCATGTCATTGCAAATGATGTTTTAGTTTCTGAACAGTCAAGCAGTTGTAAGTCAAATCTTATTTACTATATAGGTGCATCGTTATACATTGGCACGTCATCGCTTAATTGAAATTACATTTCAGTAACAATACTGACATTTCATAACTTAAAAATACCTAAATTGATTATGAAAATAAGTTTAAAAAAATACAAATTTAAAAAATAAAAAATATAAGAGGATGTAACCAAATATTCACTAATGTGTGAATATTCCTTTTGGATGATTTCCATGGAATAGACTAATTAAGACTTTTTCAAATAGGAATTTATTGAAATTCGGACTAAAAATGCTTTCTTCTTTTCCTGATAAAATTTTCCAGTATCTTGTATAGGCATGCTCTGCTGCTCCAGGGGTCTTTGAATTCAAGATAATCTCTCATGAATTTTTGTAATTGATTTGACATTTTATATCTGTCTCCAAATGTCTTTGAGTGGTAAATGTTGGAGGAAAGAGAGCTTCAGGGTAATGTCTTCATTGATCCTTTGCTCATCTATATCAGTAAGATCTTCATTGCTGGTGTCTATGAATGATAATCTAATAACTTTAATCACAGCCTTAGAAAGAACGGCTAATCGTTGTCTGAGATTAGTCAATTTATGTGGTGCTTATTTCAGATTTGGTTAAAGCTTGACCAATTCAAGGTGAAATTTATTTGTTTTGTTAATTGTTTTCTCAGAATCTAAAATATTAAACACTTAGAAATTTTTTAGTATTGTTCTCCCTTCCTTTATCAACTATTGCAGTAAAATTTTGAGAAGTCGTCAGAGAGAATGGGCCTTTAAGCATTCAGTGACTTCTTGATTTGTTCTTTGAAGCAGTGCAGTTTGTGTTTGGGATGATGTACAGATAGTAGTAGCAAAGAAATTAGTTTAAGGTTTGGGTGATGGTGCTGAAATTTGGGGATGAACTGGAGTATTTTCCAAAAATTACCAATGCATTAAAAAGGAAGGTTATTATTATGCAATAAATTTTGATCTCTAGAACAAAGTAATTTGAAAACTAGTTTTTAAATACCATTTATATCACAAAAACTTTAGAAATCTTTTTTTACAATGTTGGAAGGCCAGTTCACTAAATAAATAGTTAATTTTGTAGTCATTGGTTACAGTAGACACCTAATAACAAAATCATTTGCGCCTTTGCTACTGGGCACTGTTATTTGTTCTGAAGGAGATGAGGAGGAATCTAACGTAAACCCTGCCCTCAAAGAGCAGGTAGAAAAAAGAGCAAGTATCAGGTTCCTTTAGAGAAGTGTATTTAAATCAGTTGCTAAGGAAGTTCAGAAGAGGAAGAAATTATTGAAAAGAGTGTATCAAGGAAATTTTCATGGATGAGTATTCAGAATTAAACATACTTTTGAATTAGAAAGTAGTTTATAGTGTAAAAAGAAGAAGAAATACACATAGTTATTGTTTGGTTTGATCATTCAGGTCGAGGTAGCATGGAAAAAGAAGCCTATAGTCACAAAACTTCTGAAACATTTCTTTTAAATATTTTAAATATTTAAAAATGTTCCCAGTTATGAGCAAATTAACTTATTTGGCTTTAATCAAAAAGTTAAATGACAAATATTGTATAACATAGTTCTGTCTAAAAATATTTATGGTATTGATTGATCAGTATTGAAATCTTCACCATTAATCTGAATTTAAAAAGTTAAGGATTTGCAAGGGAAGGCTTTTGATATTTCATTACAGACTTTTTAATTAGAGTTTTAAAGAATGTTTTAAATATTGCCTTAAATTAGAAATTTAATTTTCTTAGAGAAGGTTCTAGACTAAGCGTAGTAGCTAAATAAATCCTGATAATCTGTTAATGTATTTTTATTTTTTTTACTTTCTAGATTAGGAATAATGTACCTGTATTGTTTTGTTTATTTAAGTATATTCAGATTATTAGATAATTTTAAGTAATAGATTTTGCCATAGGAAAAAATGCTAGATTGCAATTTAGGTCAGTACTATCCATATTTTCATTTATCTTCCTTTTGAATATCATTAAGAATTCTTAAGGACTCGAAAGAATCCATTTTAAAATTTAAAGCACATTTCATTTTTACTTAAAACAATATAGTATTAAAGAACCATAGATCTGGAAATAATTTTAAAATGATTTAGGGTATTCGATTTTTGTTTGTTTCATTTAATATCTTTCAGAACCAAATGGTTGTATAACTAAAAGTTTCACTTAAAATTTAGATCTTAATTTTTCTCTTTCAAGTTATAGCATGGTTTTATAATCTGTTGGAGCAGTCTACAATTATATTAGCTCAGTGAGGAAAAAAAGAGTTCTCATATTTCACATGTTTTCGAATTTTGTTGAGTATTTAAAAAAAAGTGTGAAGGGGTGCTTAGATGGAGGAAGAAGGAATCATAAAACGCTGGAACAGGAAGGGAAGTCATTGAGTATAGTCCCTTAGTTTTATGGGAAGAAATTTACAAAATCTCCCACAGAGATTATGTAACTTGTCCCAAGTCACACACATAGCATAATGGCACCACTAGAACTAGAACTCTGCTCTCTGGACTTCAGCTAGCTAAAACATTTGAGTTAAATTGTCGTATCTGCTTTCAGTCTCAGAGTTTTCAAAAATCTGCATAGACGACTTAAAGTTGTCTAAGTGGAAACTGACCCTTCGAAATAATATGTATTGAAACAGGAAAGTGCCCACTGGCTGATTGCTGGGGTTGAATAGCTGCATAGCCTAAGTTTAGAGAGTGAAAGTGTGACTTTAAAAATGAATTAACTATACATGAATTTCTTAAAATTAAACATTATAGGAACATAACAATTTCCATACTAAATTCAATCTGTTGCATATCTAATCCTAGTCCAGTGTTCTGTTACCATCAGAGGCCTTGTTGGGGGTACGCCTTGACACCAACCATAAAGTATATTGGTAGCGTTTTCTATTAGTAGGTATTTATATCTCCAGCATTCACAAATTTTATTTCTTACTTGTGCAGCATCTTGAGAGATTGCTAACTCTAGTGCGAAGTACTGCTTTTTTTAATCTCACTTTTATTTTATTCAGCTTTTAAAGGACGCTGTTTCTAGAATGTATGTATAATAAATAAGGAACATATGTTCCTTATTTATTATAACTTAAAGTTAGAAGAAGTTCTAACTTTAAGTTAAACTTTTCTTAAACTTTTTTCTTTTTCTGTTAGCCATTCTTTTGTTGTTCATTTCTAACTGAGAGCTTTTGAATATGCTTAATCTTAACAAATGAAAAATAAAAGATTAGTATTTGTTCTAATAGAGAAATTATCCTCTTTGTTGAGTAGGACAAAAAAAAATTTAATTGTATTTTTTTACAGTTTATTTCATATGCTCCAATATTATTCTACTTTTTGTACTAGGTCATGCATGCATTTAGCAGTTATACACTTAAGAGGGTGGGTGATATTTGAATGTTATGAATAGATTTTTTTGGACCTTTTGCCAAGTACATTTGTTTTTGCATAATATTTTGATAATTGGCTTCAAAATAACTATTATACATTCACAAAGAATGGCAAGGAAGATTGTAGTGTCTCACTGAAATTTGGCAAAATTGTTTTCTTTTGAACTTTGGTGCAGAAAATCAAGGCAGTCCAGATGTGTGTGTGTGTTTGCGTGTGTAAGTAAATGAAGGGGAGGTGAAGTATTAAATTGTATGTGGGAAACAGACATTGACATAATCTCTTACTTAAAAATATACATGCAGGCAAGATTCTACTTTTAAAAATCCAAATGAGTGGCTGGATATATACCTAGATTTTCTCACTTCTGTGACATACTGATACTGTTCCTTGCCCTTCCGAGGCAATAAATGTTGCCTTGATCTACAAGTTGTTGTGTGCATGTGAACAGGAGCATGCTCTGTCAAAGAGAATTAACCTTCCCAAACTATTACCAGACTTATTTATCCTCTCATATATATGTATAATGATCTATTTACTGTTTAAAAAGAAGAGGAACTAGTGGGGTTTTGCTACTTTTATAACTTTAACGTATGTAATTTTCTTACCTTTAACCTTATGATGGAGCTGTCCACAGCATGCTTTTTTTTTTTTTTTTAACTGCTGGCAGTATTTACTGGAATTAGTTTAGCTTATTCTTAATTGTGTGTCCTAATATTGTGTTGGATGGATATTATATTTCAATATGATTATTTAAGTGGGCCTTTGTTAAATATAAAGCAAGGTATCTCCACTAGGTCCTGTTAGCAGAAAATTTTATGTTGTATAGATAAGGTATATTTACCATAAATTGATTTTCTAAAGTACTTTTAAGCTAGATCATGATGGTAAGGTTAAGTAAAGTAAATGCAGTGCTTTTTTATTTAATTTCAAGCTTAAAATATATGAAAAAGTACAGATATAAAAATCATTTGCTCAGGATTACATGCATAATGTAGAATTGCTGTAATAAATTTGCCTGAAAGTATAGATGATGATTAAGCAACATGTGAAAAAAAAGCCTGTTTATTCAGAAATCATTGGTAAAAGCTATAAAAAGTACATGTTTTATATGTCACACAGAATGTAACACTTTCTTTATCTTAGTAGCTTATAATGTTATCCAGGAAACATTAGAAGTTCTTCACTCGGCTCTTATGCTTTCCCTTTTTCATTCTTTCTGCCTCTTGATCTCTTGGTTTTAAAATCTTCCTCCTTATTTTGTAGACACTGCTCTCCTGTTCACTACTTCTTCTCTGTCTTTACGTCTCATCACTGGGCCTCTCTCAGTGTCTGTTTTCCCAACCTTCATCCCAAATTCCAGCTGTATATCTACAACCAGTTGGTCAGGTAACTGCACCTTTTTCAGTGCACTCTTTGATAGAGCATGCTCTGTTCTTTTTGATTGTTTTGTTTGCTTTTTTTTTCTTTTTTTTTTTTCCTAACAGCCTAGAGGCCTCTTGTCAAATGTCCCATATATCGATACCTTTTTGTTTCTACGTTAATTTGACATGCTGATTGTTCAACAAGTAGAGTGACAGTTCTTACGCATTTTTGTTTGTTGGATGCGTGGGTGCATTTTTGTTGATTAGCTACCACTGCAGACCTAATCCCTGTAATGTGAGCAGCCACCTTTTATTTAGCGTGGCATCTACATTTGAGGAGAGTTTAGTAGTGCCTTTTTAACTACCCAGATAAGTTTTCATAAATCAGTAATTTCTCCTAACCCTTTGGAGCTATGATATATTGGGCTATTTAATTTCAAAGGTCAGGTTAAATTGAGAAGTTTGAGGCATTTGGTGCACCCTTTTACTCCAGTAAATAAAGTTATGTTTTTATGGATAAGGCATCTGACTGGTGCTCCGTGTTCTCCATGGAAAGCAGATTATATCACCTGCCATTGCGTCTCTTAGGTAACTCACTATGCCTGAAGCAAAACAAGACCGAATCCGAAAATGAAAGTCAAAAAGGGACATGAACATGTTTTTGTTTGCTTGCTTGTTTGGGGGCTTCAGGGTTTGTTTTTTGTTGTTTTGGTCTTTGTTGTTTTGGGTTTGTGTGTTTTTTGGTCTGAGCCTTCAGAATAAATTCCTTATATTTTCTGTTATGAAAAAGAATCACCTATGAAAAATGAATGTGTAAGTTAAGAGTTATCAGTCATGGTTGTCCAGATGTTCTGAAGAATTTTCTTTCCTGAATTTACTACTCTTTTTCCTTTGCTACTCTTAAAATTCCAAGTTAAAGATTCTCTCATTTTCTGAATAAGTCGACTCATTAAAGCTTTTATTATCTCAAACTTTTTTCGAAGGAGTAGTATGTCCTTTTTCACACAGCTTGTTGATAAGGTAATGAGTGATAGCTCTCTCAGAGAGAGTCCTGCCTATGGATTTGTTTTCTCACTGTTCTTCCTGGTGTGACCATAGGTTTCTGACAAAGCGGGAGCAAAAACTAATGCAGCGGCGACAACATGCAGAAGAGCTACTAGAATGGAAGCGGCGTTTAGATGCAGAGGAAGCAGAAATTCGTCAAATGGAAAAACAGGCCTTGGCTGCCTGGGACAAAGAATTAATGAAACCTAAAACTCCTAAGAAAGAACTGGAGGACCAGAGAACAGAACAGAAAGGTAATAAATAGTAACTGTTCAGACTGCAAACTAAAGCCAAACATAATGAAAGATTTCCTTCATTACTTTTAAAAATGTGAATGATTAAGAGTGAAGGACGCGATACATCTACTACAAATTTCTGTAGAAATTGGAAAGTTGAGACTATCGTGAATAACTTTATGCTAATATATTTGAAAACTTAGAAAAACGGATAAAATTCCATGACATGGAAATGGGTTATTCTGTGACCAAATGGAGTTTAACACATATTTAAAAATTGATAATGTAGTAAATTACTTAAAATTAAAGGAGACAAATTACATGACATCTCAATGGGTTCAGAAAAGGCACTTGATAAAATCTAAAAAGCATTAGTAATAAATAAATCTCAGATCAAAGTAGCAGTGGAAGAGACTTTATTTACCTGATGTAGGATACCCATTAACAAAAACAAAAAACCAAACCTACAACAGACATCATACTTAATGATAAAACATAGAAAACTTTCCCTTTGAATTTGGAAGTAAGACAGAATGCTTATTTTCACCTAAAAAGTGAAAGGAAGAAGCAAAAACTCTTTATTATTACAGATGGTAGGGCTATGCAATAGAAAATGTAACATTTACATGTCAGTTTTTAGAATTAGCAAGTGAGTTTAGCAAGATTGCTAGATATAAAGTTCATAAACAAAACTCAAGTGCATGTCTATAGGCCAATAGAAATTGGTTAGAAAAATCTAATTTTTAAAAGAGATACCATTTATAATACAAATAAAAAATATGAAGTACCTAGGAATAAATTTAACAAAAAGCATACAAGGTCTTTATGGAGAAAAATTTAGAATTTTATTGAGACATTAGTGAATACCAAAATAAATGGAAAGCTTTTCCATATTCACAGGTAGACTCAATGTCATAGAGATATTCTCCCTGAACTTATTTATAGATTCAAGACATTTAAATCAGAAACCCAGCTATTTGTTTGTTTGTTTGTTTGTTTGTTTAGAGAATGATCAGTACTGTTAATTGAGTATATGCAATGCACTGTACCAGTTACTTAAATTAGTACTAATGCTTAGCTCCATGCAAAATAAGTGGTATTGACCCTATTTTATAGATAAAGCAGCTGAAACACTGATTTTTTTTTTTAAACATGGAAGTAGGGAATACAGCTTAGTCATATAACTAAGGAATGCCAAAGCATTTTGTGATTCAAGATTCTTTCTAAGAAGTCATTTCCTAGAGCAGATAGTTTTCTAAGAAATGACTTTCTTAGAATTGACTTTCTTAGAAAAGTATAATAATTTAAACAGTATGATATATGCACAGAGATAGACTATGAAACAGCCCAAGAAAATGACCTGTGCATATTAGGAAAGTTGACTCTGACACAGGTAACTTTGCAGAGTAGTGAAGAAAGGAGGGACTCTCCAATACATTTTTGTGAGAGGGAAAAATGAAATTGGATCCTTATAGAACAATAAAAAAAGATTAACCTCAAGGGGCAAAAAAAGACCTAAATGTGACATTATAAAACTATCAAACTTTTAGAAAATAAAATTAGAATATCTTTATGACACCAAGGGAAGGCAAGTTTTCTTTTAACATGTTATACAAAGTGAAAACCATAAAGGGAAAGATTGATAAATTTTTCTTCAATAAATTAGGAATTTCTGTTCATTAATACACCATAAAGTAAAAGATAGAGATTTGCAACACATCCGACTGACAAAGAAATAGTATCAATGATATGTAAGCAATTTCTTGGAGTAAAAGATAAAATGACAACCATGTTTTAAAAATTAGGCAAAAGAGCAGACATTTCACAAGTGAACTCCAGATGGTCAATAAACCTATGAAAGGATGTTCAACTTCATTAGTATCAGGGCCATAAAAGCCATAAAAAAATACCACTGCATACCTGTATTCAATTCCTAGGTCAGCCATAATAAATTACCACAAATTCGGTGGCTTAAAAAAAATTATTCTCTCACTTCTAGAGACCAGAAGTACAAAATCAAGGTGTTGGCAGGACTGTTGGTTGCAGGGTACAGTTGTTTCATTCCTTCTTCCAGCTTCTGGGGGCTATGCTATAGGCATTTCTTGTTTCTGCATAACTCTAATCTCACGTGGTCGTCTTCATGTTTGTCTTCTCCTCATTTGTCTCTTAAGGAAACTTGTCATTGAATTTAGGGCTTATCCATATAATCTAGATGACCTTATCTTGAGATCCTTACCTTAATTACATCTGCAAAGACCTTTTTTCTAGATAAGTTTACATTCACAGGTTCTGGGTGTTAAGACATGAGACATATCTTTTGGGAGGCCATCATTCAAGCCATTTACAATCTTCATCAAACCTGCTGGTCTGTAGGTGGAACTAAGAACTCTGTTCCACTTCTGGGGATATACTAAAAGGATTGAAAGCAAATTCTCTTAAGAGATATTTGTACACCCATATTTATAGCAGCGTTATTCACAGTAGCCAGAAAATGAAAGCAACCCAAGTGTCTGTCAGTAGATGAATGGATAAATAAAATGTGGTACATACACACAATGGAATATAATTCAGCTTTAAAAAAGAAAGAAATTCTGACACATGCTACAACATGGTTGAGTCTTGAAGACATTATGCTAAGGGAAATAAACCAGTCTCAAAAGGATAAATATTGGATGACTCCACTTATATGAGAGGTACCTTGAGTAGTCAGATTCATGGAGACAGAAAGTGGAATGGTTGTTACTAGGGCTTTGGAGAGGGAATAGAGAGTTACTATTTCAAGAGTACAGAGTTTCAGTTTGGGAAGAAGAAAGAGTTCTGGAGATGGATGATGGTGATGGTTGCATAGCAGTGTGAATGTGCTTAATTTCACCGAAATGTACACTTAAAATTGGTTAAGATGGTAAATTTAATGTTATGTGTATTTTACCACAACCTAAAAAAATTAAGAGTATAGTAGAAAGTTAGGAAGACGCACACAGCATCCATACTTGACTGCCACTGGTTCACCTTTGAGGTACAAAAATTGGGCCGATGAAAATGGTTGGAGATTGAGTGTGTGAACTAATCACTTTACGTCCTTCCGAACTGTTGAAAGGCTGTTTGTTGGTTTGTTTTTTACTACATTCTTGCACTACTTTTATAATGTAAGGGAAGAGGCAAAAAAATGAAGACTTCCAAAATAAAGTCTTTCACAGATTGGAGAAAATTCAGTGGTGACCTCTCAGGAGGTAGTATAGGTGACTTTCATTTTTTTCTTTATACAATTTTTATATTGTTTGAACTTTTTTTATGAGTATGTCATTGTTATTGAACAAAAATAAAATGTATATGTTGAGTGTAAAGCAGAAAAGTAGAAGATTCTTCCATTGCCTACTTTATAAAAATTAAATCATTTTCTAAACCGTTTTAAATTTAACCCACATCCTGTTTTGGAATAGGTGAATATCCTTGAGGATTTTTAGAATTTCTTCAACCATTCTGATCATGCTACACTTACACAATATAAAAATACACCTTTAGTGCTTTTTTAAATGTCAGGTCATCCTCGTTTATTATTAAAGTTAAAACATTCTTTGGGGTGTAGGTATTTCTTATGTTAAATAAAGTTATGTTACAGATTTCAGGCCCAGAATTTTAAGTGACGTTTAGAAATGAGTATATCAAACATTAGCAGTATTGTCCCAAAGTGTGATATAACCTGATTTTTGTGGGATGTTATACTTGTAGAGACAAAGAAGGAAAACAGCGGATTATATATAATGTCATAAAGCATAATGTCAATAATTTTCCGTTTAATGTCAAGCGTATTTCTGTTTTCTTAGAAAGATCAGAGGCCATAATGGACAGAAAATTCCAGAGGCAAAAGAGTTGCTACAAATTCTGAAAGTGCCAAATAAAGTTTAAGCTGTATCTCTGTTGATACATGCAGCTCTATTTCATTCATTTTTATTGCTACATAGCATTTCATTGTATAAAAATACCACAATTTATTTATTTTACTGTCAGTAGACATTTTCATTTCTTTCAGTTTTTAACTATTCTAACAATCCTGCTAATGACCCATGTACATGTCTCCTGCATATATGCAAGATTTCTCTAGAATTTATACCTAGAAGTGGAGTTGCTAGATCATAGAGTGTTTTCACATTTTTCAAATTTTACCAAATTGTTTTTCCAAAGCAGTTGAACCAATTTCTGTTCCTAAACAAATATATGAGTTGTGATTGCTCTACGTCTGCACAAACACTTCGGTCGTCTGTCACTCTAATAATATGTTATAGATTTCTTAGTTGGCATCAGCCAAAATTCTTAGACTGACAGACTTTATAGTAAATGCGATCCATTAAAGCGATGGTATTAAAAAATTATATCCAAATGCAGCTAGTGAAATCATGCTAGTTTCATAACAGTCATACATTTCCCTTGACCAAGATTGTGTACTTTTTCTTGTTTTTACCCTCTCTTTCTAGAAATGGTGAGTGAAGCTGAATCTCCAGTACTTTCCTTCTCTCATCTACCCAGTGAAAGCTCTATTCCGGAAGAACTGGGCAGCCCTGCTATTGAATATATACCATCCGCGTCTGTAGTTCAGGAGCAGCCAGGGAGTCCAGATCGCAGTATACTACTTACTGAAGACATGGTTTTTTCACAAGAACTGGAATCTTCTACTTCTCCTAGTAAACATGTAAGTTAATGTATATTTGCATCTTAAAACTTTAGGTAAAGCCTATCTAAAAAGTATATTATTAACAGTAATAGTCCTGCTGTTAGTGACAGCATTGACTATCACCCATAGCTGTTAACATACAGTATATGACATTTGAATAGAAATAAAGCTTTTCATTGACTCCTAAAGATTTATAAACATATGATTTTTAGCTTTAGCAGAAGTTATAAAATTACATGCTATTAGGACTACTGATTTTAAGGAGACGGGAACTTCTGAAGTCTTTGATAAAGATATGTGGAAACATAAGTTTTATTAAAATCTTCTGTTTTGTCATATAATAGAAACAAAAAGAGCTTAAAACTTCAGCGTGCCTTTTCTATAAATTAATAACTGCTCTTTAACTAACTCATAATCAGAATAAAAGTACGGTTTCATCTCTTTAAGGAAGATCCTTAATTCTATACTTCATAAATAAAACATGTTTGGTAAAATTTAAGCTAGAAAGAACTGTTTTTTACCTTAATTTTATAAAGTATGTAAAGGAATTAACATAACAGTATCAAACATTCAGTAAACACATTGGTAAGTCTCTCTATATTTAAAAAAGTATCCACCTAAGTTCAGAGTGGAATATCCTTGTTTTAAAGTCTTTATTTTTATTGTGGATGTGAAGAAAGAATTGCATTTCTCTATTGGAAAATCAGTCAGATTCTTGACTGATTTGTGGGTTGTAGCACCTGAAAAATTTGGAGGAAAAACATTTTTTATTCAGTGAAGAGACTATTATTCTATGATATGTTGCAAAATATTCCAGTGCTTTATGCACATACTTGAATACAGAGTTTTTATATTATTAAAAGCTTCTAATTTTCACATTAGTGATTTCTTGGTTATTATGTGATAATAGGCTTGTTGTATAGATAATTTAGTTGTAACATAATTCCTACCTTCCAATAATTTACAACCAAACTGTGCCTGTTGACACAATCTTATTATTTTACTACTTCTTAAAAATTGATTAGATTTTACCTAACATCATTATTGATGAGTGTGTCTTTAAGTGATTTTTATAATAAGAAATAATATTGAGTGCCAGTTAGTATGCTAAATACTTTGTCTATCATCCTCACAATAATTGTACAGATACCGTTTTAAGCCCCGCTCTGAACCTTAGTGGGCTAGGGAACTTGCCCAAAGTCACAGGGATAGGAAGTGATGATAACTAGGAGTCAGATCAGGCATTTTCACTTCCACTTGATGTCAGAGTAGAAATTATATCCTTTGTAATAATCTCTTGTGGTCAGTCTTCTTATGCTCTCTTTTCTTTCCTTCCCCTTTTCCTTTTGTCCTTCCATAAAAGTAATACATATTTAGTATTTATTAAAAAAAAATTTTTCACCGTCATTATAAACCACTTTTTAAAAAAAATATATTAAGTTTATTGAGGTAATTGGTTAACACAATTATATAATTTTCAGGCGTACATTATAGTTTGACATCTGTATATTCTATTGTGTGTTTACCACCCAAGTCCAGTTTCCTTCAGCTACCATATATTTGATCCCCTTTACCCACTTCACCCTCCCCCTAAACTCTATATTTGACCCCCTTTATCCCGTCTTCTTCCCCTATCCCACTAGTAACATGGCCTATAGTCCATGTCCATGAGTCTTTGTTCGTTTGTCCTGCTCATTTGTTGCTCTTAGGTTTATATCCCACATATAAGTGATATCATGTGATTTTTAACTTTTTCTGTCTGGCTTATTTCGCTTGGCATGATTATCTCAAGGTCCATCCATGTTGTCACAAATGGCAGTATTTCATCTCTTCTGGTTGAGTAATATTCCATTGTATATATGTACCACAGCTTCTTGAGCCAATCATCTATCATAGGACACTTCAGTTGCTTCCATGTCCTGGCCACTGTGAATAATGCTGCTATGAACATCGGTGTGCAAATATCTTTTTGGATATGGATTTTCATGTCTTTGGGGTAAATTCCCAGTAGAGGGATTGCTAGATCATATGGTAGATCAATTCTTAGTTTTTCGAGGAACCTCCATACTGTTTTCCATAGAGGCTGTACCAATTTGCAGTCCTACCAGCAGTGTATAAGGGTTCCTTTTTCTCTGCATCCTCTCCAACATTTGTTATTACTTGTCTTGTTGATTTTATTGAGATATAATTGACATATAACGCTATAAGTTTAAGATGTACAGCATAAAATGACTTGACACACATATATTTTGAAGTGATTACCACACTTAGTTAACATCCATCACCTCATATAGGCAAAAAGTTTTTTTTCCTTATGATTAGAATCCGCAGTCTTAGCAACTTCCAAATATGGCACACAGCAGGGTCAGCTATGTGGTACATTACAGCCCCAGCGTTTACCTTGTGACTGGAGGTTTGTGTCTATGACCACCTTCACCCAGTTCTCCTATTCCCCATCCCCCGCCTCTGGTAACCACAAATGCGATCTCTTTTTCTGTGAGTTTGGTTTCTTTCAGATTCCACATAAAAGTGAGATCATACAGTATTTGTCTTTCTCTCTCTGTTTCACTTAGCATAATGCCCTCAAGGTCTGTCTATTTGTCACAAATGATATACCACATTTTCTTTATTCATTCAATTCATCTGTTCATGGAGAACTACTGTATGATCCAGTATTCCCACTTCTGGGTATATATCCGAAGGAAACAAAATCACTATGTTGAAGAGATATCTTCATCCCCAGTTTAGTATTTTTAAAATTAAAAAGAATAAAGGAATAAATATCACTTATACATTAGCCACTCTTAGTTTAGTATAAACATTCTTAAATCATGTTTTTATATATTTTTCCATACCTTTCAAAAATTGAGCTCTTATCCTTTGTATAATTTGTAAACTATTTTTTTTTTAGGCAAGGCAACCTTAGGTTGACCTCACAGATTGCAAGGACCTTGTCAGCTCTCAATCTCTTATTTTTTATTTTTTATGCCTTCCTAAGTGGTCTCCCATCCAAGTACTAACCAGGCCTGACCCTGCTTAGCTTCCAAGATCAGATGGGATCGGGCTTGTATAAACTATTTTTTTATGTGAGAGTTATTTAAAATTCCTTGTATATATTATCTTTAATTGGTTAGTATCTCAAGTTTTAAATAGCATTCACAACTGTATCACAGAACAGTTCTCATTTGGTTTTCTGTTTAAACAGTCACCTCCCAAAAGCTGCACATCTGTGTCAAAGCAGGAGTCTAGCAAAGGAAGTCATAGGACTGGAGGACAATGTCGTCTACTTGTCAAGTCCCATCAACACTGTTATAGTTGGTCAGATGAGTCATTATCTATGACACAGTCAGGTAAGACTAATAATAATGAGTTTTTTTTACTTTGTACTGTATTTGAATTTCTCTTTAATGAGCTTTGTCTAACCATATGCTAGCATGATGTTATCCTCTGTTACATGGTTAAGCCATTTTTCTTGCCAAGATTAAATCGCATAATTCTTAGCTTTTCATTGATAACTAATTATATCCCTAATTACACAAAATATGACAAACTGTTATATACTCTGGTGTTAATGGGCAGCCATTTATTCATCAGGCATTTGTAGAATTTTTTTCTTTGTCAGGCACTGCTTATGTGTTCCCATAGTGCTGTGTGCTTCAACTTGTTATACCAGATAGCACATAAATGGTAACCAGACTTTAGCCAGCAGGCCTTCCCTACTAGAACATAGAGACTTTTGGAAAGCAGAGTCTATGTTTTGCAGCAACAGGACCTAGTAGGTACTTTGCATTGCATATGGTTGGTATTTATTAAATATTTTTTTAATGAATTAATGATGACCATGAAAAGAAACGAGAGGTGGTAGAGCAGGATAGCATAAGTCTCAAAGGAAGAAAAGTAGAGAGTAGACTGCAAATAGCAATGGGGAGCATTGTCTATTTTCTCATAATTTCTATCCTACTCTAGATCTCTATAATATATAGATTATGAAAGAATGAACAGCCTCCACTCTGGAAGACTTCAAGGAGTTAGTTGATCTTGGGAAGCTTGTCTAGATAGACAATGCTCAGTTTAAGTAGGTTTCTGAGAAACATTAATGCCACAGTGAGTGTGTGTTGTTTGAGCTCATTTTTAGTTTTCTTTTGAGAGTAGGCATTTAAGTAAAGGAAAAGCAAAGAATTCTTTTTTTGAACTTTGATCTTATCTTTTACCCTCTTTATTTTCAGTGTTTCAAACAATAGTAAATCATTGGGTTTTCCTCAAACCCATATTTATAGATCGCCCTTATTTTTTTAATAACTGAATAATATCTTAAAGAGTAGAAATACCGTAATTTATTTAACTGTGTCTCTAGTGGTAGTCATTTAGATATTATCAGAATTTTGAAAATTGCAAATAATGCTGTAGTAAACATCTTCATATAATATTCTTGTTGAATATTTCAGTAGGAATAAATACTTCGAAATGTAATGACTGACTGGATCAAGCCAGTTGAAGAATGTTATCTATCATATTTATCTCTTGCAAGTTATTAATATTGTTATATATTTGCTTTCATATACTCTGGTGAAAAGTTATTGCCAGTAGAGTAATATGTCAGTAGACATACACTTGATACTTGGAAACATGGATTCTTATCTTGGCTCTGTTTCTTACTGGGGACTTTCTTCAAGTTTCTCTCCCATATTGGATAATATTTTCCATCTGTAGCAGTGGAATAATATCTTAACCATCCTTGCATGAGTTACACCCAAGGATTAATTATATTGTTTATAAGATGCTATTTTATTAGTAAAGACAAATTTAAGAATCATTTTAGAAAAACAGCTCTGAGATTTCTGAATTATAAATGCCACTACCTATTCATGATGCCATCATTACATGTAGTATATATAGAAGTGGTAAATTTCAATCTCATGGGAATATATAATACCTTTCTTACTTAAATGATAGTTTATCAACCAAATTAATATAGTCAGCATGTTTCAAACAATCAAAAATTTTTGGTTGTTATTCTGTCCATCAGGTTATTCTGTCTTGACAGGTTTCAGCAAACTGAAATATTATTTACCTGCTACCTCCCCTCTCCCCAGCTCTCAACCTGTAGGAGAGAATTCCATAAAGACAAAATATTCATCTAGAGAGTTACTTGGGTAAAAAAACAATTTCTAGAGATTCCCTTAGATGTTACTGATGGTAAATACTATTTAGTAATATTTGATTTGGGCAGATGTATAATGTATTCCCATTCACTCTCATAGACTTTTATTTAGTCTCTAATTACCCTTCATTTGTGTGCTTTTGATTTCTTTAGTATTTAAAAATATAAACATTTCCCAAGGTCTTTCATCTAAAAACTCCAAGTTTCTCATCAACTACTCTTAAATCTTCATAACCATAAATAATAAAAATATTTCTATTAGAAAAATCACTGCTGGCATATGCAATTTCTAAAATATATTAATTTTAAATATAATCTTTTTTGGCAAAGTTGAAATTAAATCTGTGGGAGTGTATTCTATAGAATTTTATCAAAGTAACTTCTCAAGTTTTGGATGCACATAAAGCTTTTCACGCTAAAATAATACAGTTTTAGAAGATGAAAGGTATGGGTTTATAGTTCATTTTAGAATTATAATTTTTAGCTCATTCTGTAATTCTCCCCCCAATTATTGTGCTGTGGAATAATATCTTAACCATCCTTGCATTAGTTACACCCAAGGATTAATGATAATATTTATATGATACTATTTTATCGGTAAGACATATTTAAGTAAGAATAGTTTTAGAAAAATAGCTCTGAGATTTCCAAACACTATAAAACTTACCACTAAGGGTTCAGAACCTTTTAACTCTGAAACCAATTGATTATTTTCTTCAAAAACTAAAAGAAAGCACGAGAGAGGTATTCGGGAGCTCTCTCCCCACCACCACCTTTTTTAGTTTGAAACTAAGAAAATGCATTACCCAAAATATTGCTACATAAAAATGTTTGTTTTATGTGAGTATTAATACTACCACCATTTATTGAGCTTTTATAGTCATCCAGGTACTGCACTATATGCATTATTATATAGCTTATTTAATACTCACAACAATTCTAGAAATCAGTAATGGTCAAACACTGTACCAGTTACCAGCAGTAGATCCAAAGTTGAAAATGGCCTTTTATTATTACTTCATTTTATGAGTGTTGATCATAAGTAGTGAGCTTTGTCCATGCTAAGGGGTCAGTATGATGCCATTATTGGTATAAAATGGGCATAACGTCCCTTGTTATCTTATATCTGTGACATAGAAATGACAGGAACTTAGATTTCATTATTTCTTATCCAGATATTTGGATCACATGGAAGAAAAAAAGACTCTACTCTTTTTGCATTTAAGTAAATTTGTAACTCGTTCTTAGGCAATTTAATCTGGAGTATCTGAAAGACAGCCTGGTTATTTATGCTATAATGTGTATATCTGAGTCTTCAGATTTGTATACAATAATATTTCTCTTGTAAGGCTATTAAATATCTTACTCAACTTTAGTGCTTGGAAATGACACCACTGTGTGATTCAAGGAGGAAGTATAAGGAATAGTAATTTTTATTTTACATAATTTCTATGTGCAGAGAAATAGTATCTTTAAATATCTATTTTCATTGCATGCGTGTGTGACACGATGAAACGCCTTTTTCATAATTTTGCTGTGACTGGATATCTGCTTTGTGTAGGTGCATATATGTATATGAACTGTTGGAAAGAAAATGAAACTTAACAAGCTTCATTTCAGTTATTTAAAATATTTTAAGAGCTTCCAAAGAAAGGTTACAGCAGAGTATATTTCTTTTAGTTTGAAACTAAGAAAATGCATTACCCAAAATATTGCTACATAAAAATGTTTGTTTTATGTGAGTATTAATACTCCTTTTATTTCTCTCTCCTTTTATGTGGTATTAAGACATCAGCTAATGACCCACAATCGGTTTAAAATGATAAAATTCCAGTTTAATTTTAATATGACTTAAAAGTCTATTAAATTATTTCTTAACAACGAAGGAGAAGATGAACTAAATATGATTATCTTATTACTAGGAAATAATTCCTTACAGAATGTCCAGATTTCACTAACCTAAAAGTTTTCAACTTCTAGCTGTTTATCTAACCAAGGCAGGGTACCTTGAGATTTATTTGCAATTTCAAATAGTACTCTTAGAAAGTGAAAATAAATAGGAGGACCACCCCACCAAAAAAAAAAAAAAAAAAAAAATTTACCGGAAAGGAATGATGCAAATCACAAATTTTTTTTCAGAAACTTAAATTTCTTAATTTTAAATGTTAGACTGACTTTATAAAAATGGAGTGTTACATCATTGCTTTTTATTAATAGTTATTGAGTTAACTTTATTCTTAAATTTAAATTAAAGATTTTGTATCTCCTTCAGAAACTACTTCGGACCAGAGTGATATCGAAGGTAGGATCAGAGCTCTGAAGGATGAGCTACGGAAAAGAAAATCTGTCGTGGACCAGCTGAAGAAGGAACAGAAAAAAAGACAGAAGGAAAGACTCAAAGCCCAGGAAGCCAGTCTGATCAAACAGCTAGAGGTTAGATAGACGGGAAGTGGTTTAATGTCAAGGCTAATGTAGATGTGAAGCCTCAAATGTTTTCAATGTTGTTAATAAAGTAATGAATTAGGATTTTTCAGTATTAGTTTGGTATCACATTTTATCATAACTCTTAAAAAAAAATCTGAGGCTTTCTAAACAAACCCTTAGTAAATATTATAATAAGTATTGAAGTAAACATGAAAATGAATTAAAGTATTAAAATAAAGCTTTTTTTCTAAATAAGAAAAATTAAGCCTATGAAAGAAAAATTGATAGCCATACCTCGTAAGCAAAGAACCATTAGATAAACAATTCTAGCTACTGCAATTATTATTGCTTCTTATAAAGAATTTTTTTACTTTTAGCAGAATGATGTTTCATGCCACACAACTTATTAGTGTGACTCATTGTACTATTTGGATGGCCCCTAAATGAGTACTCTAAACTTAACTTTTCTCCCAAGATCTAGCAGCCTGCCTTTATTCTACCAGGCTGGAAACCTGGTTTTGATAGATTCCTCATTCTGTTTTCTCCTTCCATTCCGTCACTAGATACCATTGATTCTCTTTTATAAAACTTGCTTGTCCCTTTCCATTCCTACTGCCATCAAGCTGTGTGATACCCTTATGACCTCTTGCCACTGCTGTCTGCATAGCCTCTTAAAAGTCCCTGCCTCTGGTTGCTTCCCTATTGCTTGCATAGGTTCTGCCAGCTTAGTGTTCGTTATAGAATTGGTTGGAACTTCCTACTCATCACAAGAATCCCTTCTCATGGCACCACCAGAGAACATCATTCAGCTTCAACCGAACACTTCCAGTAATAGGAAATGTAAAATTTTCAACGCATTTGGTTTCATTGTTAGGCTCTAGGTGCTCTAAGTAGTAGAAAGCTCTTTGTTTCATTTAGCCAAAATTTCTATCCAGACGTGTTCTTCCTACACTTATTAATTTAATCCTCAAATATTCAAGTGTCTATTTATGTGCCAAGAACTCAGCTTTATACATATTTTTCATTTTATTCTCAAAGCAACAAGATATGGATATTATTACCTGTTTTACAGATGAGGAAACATGAGATTGGTGATATCCAGAGACACATAGCTCAAATGTGGTAAAGCTAGGGTTTTAATCTAGCTCTAATTCCAAATTCTGTGCCCTTACCATTATACTACATTATCGTCCACGTAGAAGATAGGTCTGCTAACAGATCTGGAGAAAATAGACATTTACACAGTCACACATATAGAGATGGGAACCGAGAGTGTAACTTACAAAGATGTTTAGAATTTAAAAGTGGTTAAGATACAGTGGCCATACCAGGAAGTTCATGTTGGAAAGTAGTGGGAAACAAAATTTAAAAGTAAAGATCGTGTTCAGGACCTTAGAAATCAGACCGATGTTGGACTTCATTCTCTAGGTCAGTAGTCTTCAGCCTAACTACACATTAGAATTAACTGAGGAGTTTTTACAAATATATCTAGGCTCACTCCCAGAGATTTTGATTTAATTGATCTGGGGTGGGGTCCAGAATTTAAAAGCACTACTGTAGATAATGAGCCATTGAAAGCTAAATGAAATACTGTTAGATTGAGTAGCATTGCTCAAAAATGTTTGTTAATGGATATGTCAGCCAGAAAGATCTCTAGAGTAGTGCCATAATGATTCATTTTAGTCAACATTTTATTAAATGATTTAAATAAAAAAGTTCTGTAGGTTTTTAAAATATAGGATGGAGAAATATATAATCATACCAGTTCATATAAAAAAACTTTTGGATTCTGTTTGATCATAGATACAGTAAATGAACTACACTTGTAGCTTTCAGATGTGAGAAGTCATATCCCTCATATATATCTAGGTAGCTAGACCATCTAGTTGTAGCATGTTTAATACTAGAAGTTACTTTATGAAAACATTGAGAAGTTAGAGAGGAAGGTAATATGGATGGTAAGAGTTGTAAAAATAGGGAATTTAGCTCAGAAAACTAAGGAGAGATTTACTAGATGGAGGGCTTCCCTTAGAGTCCATATAAATTAGAATTATAAGTTAGTGCAGTTTTGTTTACGGCATGGCTAATAACTAGGAAACATTTTCTGCAATTCTGAACTATCATACTCCCAAGCACACCCTTCCTTCTCTTCGAGATTTGTATTCCTAAGTGCTTACCCCTTAAGAAGCTTACTGCCATTGAATCTCAGCATAATGGCTAAGTTCTTGAAAATATCATGAAAGTACTAGGCTATCCTTTAAAGAATAATTGTAACGTCAGCTAAAGAAGTTTTTAATGTGGCAGGGCCTGAATTATTGCTTCATAAGTATTAAAATTCTTCAGATTGAGACTTTACAATTGCCTAATATTAGGCTTACAGTTTTATATCTTGCATATACACAGACTCTTTCAAGAAGAATATAGAAGTAACTTCATAGAGCTCTGGGGAATGATACTGATGCTGCGAGAAAAGAGTTTTACATTACGTCTTCTTTACTGTTTGATATTTTATCATAAAATACACTGTTTTATAATTTAAAAGTGTTTTAAAATTCTGTATATTGACTCCTCTGATTTTTCTAAACTTAGTCATATGATGAATTCATTAAGAAAACTGAAGCCGAGCTTAACCAAGATTTGGAAACCTCACCAACAGCCAAGCCTCAGATTAAAACGCTCTCCTCAGCCTCTGAAAAACCCAAGATCAAGCCCCTTCCACTACACAGGTAGACATTTGATAACTTACCTGTATTCTGCCTTGTTTGAATAAGAATAAGGAAAGACTTTTAGTAGAAGCTATCTTCAGTAACTGAAATTATAGAAATAAAAATATTCGTTTACATTTTTAGTTTCACTAAAGTAAAATTGTTATCTATGATATAATTACAAATCAAGTTTATAATAAAGTACAGATTTTAAAATATATTTTGAAGCCTGAAATCTGGTGGATGCACTGAAAATAGTATTCTTCTGTATTGCTAATTGGAGCATCGTAAATTTGTATAGACCTTTTGAAAAACAATTTGGCAAAAGTCAAGAAGAATCTAACTTTTGACTCAATAATTCCACTTCCAGAAATTTAGCTTGGGAAAATATGAGCTACCAGAAATCTCTATGCGCAAGACTATGTTTATCACAAATCCTTTGTATTAATAAAATTAATAAAACATTAGAAGCAGTCTTTATGTCCAGAAATGGGTGATAGCCCAGTAAATTATGGTCCTTCCAGGGACAGAATACTATGCAGCCACTAAGACACTAAGTAACAACATAAGAATATATAATATGTATATAAAAAACTCAGGTTGTAATATTTAAACTAAATTTTGAATAATGAGTAGGAGTTAGGCAGGTCAGTGGGACTGAGAAATAAGGGGCATTTCAGAGGGTACTCATTAAGGGCATTCATTCATGAATTACCAAAAGCAACAAAGCGTAGCATATAGAAGCTGAACATGATGGAATGTTACTGGAATTAGGGGAAGAAACTAGAAAAATAAATAAAAACCAAATTGTGCAAACCTTGTAGGAAAGATAGAAAGGAGTAAACTTAGAAGCAGGGAGAAAGTATTCTAAGCCAGACCTCAAATAATCAGCAATAATAAGAATAGAGAATAGGAGAAGATCTTAGGAATACTTAAGAAGTAGACTTGACTAAAGTGCTAGATAGGGAAGCAGGGGGAATCCATGATGATTCCCAGGTTTCTTTGAAGTAGTTGGTTGAGTCAAGGTTCCACTAACCTAAAAGCTGTAATCCTCAGGTATCCTTTTGTGGGAAGCTCATGATTTGGGTTTTAAAATGTTAATTTTGAGGTGCCTATAGTTTATCTAAGTGGAATTATCCAAGAAAGATATCAGGGTTAGATATATGGGGATGATCGGCACATAGATGGTGATTGAAGCCATAAATATAGCACCATCACCCAAAGAAGGTATGCATTTAAAGAGAATAAAAGGGAGCTAAATACTAAATATGAGGTAAAATAGCAGCATTTAAGGGTATGATACAAGATAGGAATAGAAGCGAAGTGAAGGGAAGGCAAGAAAATGAAGATAGTGAATGTTGCTCTTCCTGTTAAAGAGTAAGAGGGGACAGTAGCATGAGGTGAAGGAATGAAGAATTGAGGGGAAAACTTATTTTTTGAGTCATGAGGCATGAGGCATACCTTATAAGCTGAGGAGGGCAGCGGAAATCTCTAAATTGAAGAATTAAAGATTATAGGAAAGAAAATGGATAATTGAGAAGTACTATCAAAGACTCTGTGGAAATGTATGGATTTGGGGTAGAAGTTGGTTCAAACAATTAACTTTGAAAAGTGTGAGAGACACACTGTTTTCTTCTTCGCAGACCGAAGGAAAGTCAGTTGAGATGGCTGTGAACACAGATTAATTTGTAGGTAGAAAGGTTTGAAGGCAAGAAAGTTTGTCCTTGGTCAAAGTGGCAAAGGTCGGTACCGCCTGTGGAGAAGAGGAAGAAGTGGTTGGTTGTCTAAGAATCGACTGCTTTTTGTTATTAGTTATTATAGCGTCCGCAATATATTTATTTCTGTTCATTAATTTCTACTTCAGATCTGAAACAGTGAAGAATTGGAAATCACTAACAGACTCAGAACGTTCCAGAGGATCCCTGGAGGCTATTGCTGAACATGTTGGTATGTTGAACTAGAAAAAGTAATGAGACCATATCTACGTAGACTGAGGATGCAAATGCCTACATAATTTTACCTCCACAGCTCTTTGATTAACAAATGAATTTCTTAAAGATAATTGATTATTTAATATTTTAAGTTACTTTTATACTTCAAAAGTGAGTTATTGGTTATGTTTAAGTTATGTCAGTATTATTCCAAATTTATGATAAAAACTTAGGATTAAAGATATTAATCTAAAAAGGCTTTGATTATATCATCAGCATCTCTAAATTCTTCCTTAATCAGATTTTTTCTCTGAGTCTATATATTTTCAGCCCATACCATTTCTCAGGGTAAGTGGTTATATACATTTTTTTTTTTCGATGTAATCCAAAGAGATAAAAATTACTGAAAATAATGTATAATTCAATGAGGAAATAAAACGGAGTCATGAAAAAGCCTACCTAGTAACAAAGACAAAACAGTAATTTGAATTCAAAATGCTTAATTCTTGATTTGTTAGCTCATCATATCGTACTCATTTTCTTCTTACTGCAATTTTAACTCTTTAAAGTGCTATATTTGCAAAAATAGTTGATCTTTTTTCTTTTTATTTTTTATATTCAAGAGCTTAAAGTCCCCAGGAAAATTCATTCTTTCAGAAATATATATGCTTTTAAAAGTATGTTTGTCCCTCCCAAATTGCTTTCTTATTGGAAGAATGTATGTAATATTCGTCATACAATTGTGTTTTTGCATGATTTGAGGATGATTGTGCAAATCATTGCCTCCATAAACTTAGAGCCATTTTTTTCTTCACTTTCTAAGTTAGGACAACACTTAAGAAATTATTCCAACTTTAAATTTTCAGTCATTTTAAATGTTTGTTTATTGTTGGCACAGTATATTCTCTTAAAGAAAAAACCTACTTTATATAGTAACCAAAACAGATCATGTTTATTGACCAGAGTTTTTCCTCGCTAAGATTTGGCTTTTCTTTAAACTTTGGTTCCAGAAATTGAAAGATTGCAATTAAATAATTTTGATGTGATTTTTTTTCCTTTAAGATGCAGGTTCTGAGAGATCAGTATCAGAAATGTCTTTATCTGCATATGCAAAGAGAGTGATTGAATTGGACAGTCGAACAGAAGAACATTTTCAGACTTCATCCCCAATTCTCAGATCATCAAGGAAAACCAGAGCTGAATCTGGAGATTCTCTAGAAAATGTACCTTCTCTTCTCAAAGAATTAAATACCTCTAATAGAATTCCGGATAAGTCAGATGCCCAGGTTGAAGAAGAAGCTACTCAAAAATCAGAAATACAAGAAATAAATTATGCAAAATTGGAGGAGAGTGGAATTGAAGATGCCTATTTTAAACAATCTAGGCAGTCTGATGTCTTACTGAAAGTGGACCTGGAACAGGGAGATTCGTCTGAAATCCTTTCAAGGAAAGATCTTCCTTTAGATTCTATAAATGTTCACAAAGATTTAGTTAGATTAACCATTGAAAATCTTCATAAAAAAGAGTTGAAAGAGAGACAATCAGATCAAGATATGGACCACAGTCAAAACATCCAATCAGAAAAAGATACTCGTGAACAAAAGAACATAAAGGAAAGGGACTCATCTTTGTCAGAACATCTTTTTGCTCCTAAGGAGGTATCATACTCTGAAGATTTTGAAGTGTCTTCTTTCAAGAAGGACATCTCAGCTGAATTGTACAACGATGACTTAGAGGTATTATCTTTGTTGTCACTCAGGAAAGATTCTCAGTCTTGCAGGGATAAGTCACAGCCAACAAGGAGCTCTAGGAGTAGAGCCACTAGCTTTGGTAGCGATGATGAAATCAGTGAGTGCCTCAGTGAGAAAAGCACTTCTATTCATAGCAGCATCCACTCCGAAAGGCTATTAGAACTCAAGTCCCCCACTGAGCTTATGAAGAGTAAGGAACGCAGTGATGTAGAGCATGAACGGGGAGTTCCCGAATCCTCTTCCTTGGCTTCTGTTTCTGTTGCAGATGAGCTACTTGATTTCCACATTGGTGATAGGGTATTGATTGGCAATGTTCAGCCAGGAACTCTTCGATTTAAAGGTGTGACTAGTTTTGCTAGAGGATTTTGGGCTGGAGTAGAGTTGGATAAACCTGAAGGAAATAACAATGGAACATATGATGGCATTGTATACTTTGTGTGCAAGGAGAAGCATGGTATTTTTGCTCCTCCTCAAAAGATTTCTCACATTCCAGAGAACTTCGATGACTATGTAGACATAAATGAAGATGAAGACTCTTACTCAGATCAACAATATCGATACTATAATCAGGAACAAAAAGATACAATGGGTCCCACGTTTGCTAGAGAAAAGGATGCAGCTGAGTATTTTTATGAGAAATCTGTACCTAGTATGCACGATGTAGAAGCCTCAGCTGATAGAAGCCTTAAATTAGAAACAGAAAATATACGGGACATTTCTGGGGACCTCGAAGCCCATGTTCACCAGCAGTCTTCAGTGGATTCACTGTCTTCAAAGGAAAACAAAGACCTTGTTTCTGGTGCCACAGAGAAGGTTTCCATTGCTGCAGAAGACGATACTTTAGATAATACCTTTTCTGAAGAATTAAAGCAGCAGCAACAGTTTACAGAAAAAGAAGAGAACCTATATCCCAAGGTTTCAGAAAAGCTTTCTACCCCACTTCTGGACCTTTTAACAAGAGAAAAGAACCAGTTGGAAGCCCAGCTGAGGTCATCACTAAGTGAGGAAGAAAAGTCAAAGCAACAACTAGAAACAGTCAGCTTACTAACAGACAGTTTACTAAAAGTCTTTGTAACGGACACAGTCAGTCAACTACAACAAATCAAAAAAGCTAGGAATGAGAAAATTCAGCTTAGCAATCAGGAGCTTCTCGACAACGAACAAAAGAAAGTGCCGCTCCAAGGCCCATCCCAGAATCTTGAGGAACAGTCACCAGGTGTTCCAGGTTGCTTCTTAGAAGATGAAAAAGAAGAGATTTCCTCACCCGATCTGTGTCCTAGACCTGTAAGTATTTTGTCTAGAAAAAAATGTCAGTTAACCTTACCTTTGTAGTGTATTTTAATTCAGGGGTTTTTTTTTTTGTGACATGTAATTTTTAGAAAAAGATCACTGTACTAGTTTTTAAAGGCCTTGTAACTATTTTTCTGTCTGAAGTATAATTGTCCTCTATTATGTCATGAGTGGTCACTATAGGGTTGTGACAAACACTGACAGGTTTATGCTGGACTGACAACCCCTGAATACTGTTCACAGATTAGACTCCCTTCAGATTCATTGAACACATTTATCCCATGGAGCTTTCCAGTAGTTCTGAACCCAGTTCTTTTTGCCTGTGAAATTATTTGTCCCCATATCTACTCAGTCGTAGTTGCTCTGCAGAGATTACCAGTAGAGATGTTGATTCTGGTGAAACTGAATTATATCCGCTATGACATATACTCAGACCACCAGCTTGTTTAGGTTGCCCGTAGATAATTAAACAAAAGTAATGATTTTGAGTAACTTGAGCCAAATAATTACCAAAGGTGAAAAATTTCATATTCCATTTCCATATCCCAGAGACAAGGCAGTCCTTCAGAAACAGAATAATGATGATACTAAAAGAAAACAAAACTAATCAATAAACATTTTATAAAAATTCAGTTATAAGACTTATGTAAGCAGAATTATGAGAAACAAGATAGTTTTTTCTTAAATTATTCATTAGTAGCCACCATATTGTTTTTGTTTGCTTATTTAGAGAGATAGTAAATACACAAATAATATATTTGTTTTGTCTTTTAAAAAAAAACCTTCATTGATCTGAAATCACTAAGTGGTGCTCTATTTGAATGGTTCCATTTCTACAGGAGAGTCCAGTATTTGGCGCCAGTGGGCAGGAAGAGCTTGCTAAGAGACTTGCTGAACTTGAGATCAGCCGGGAGTTCCTGAGTGTATTAGGAGATGATCAAGACTGGTTTGATGAAGACTTTGGTTTGAGCTCTTCTCACAAGATCCAAAAAAATAAGGCAGAAGAAACAGTTGTACCTCTAATGGCAGAACCTAAAAGGCCTCCCCCAAAGCCATGTGAACCACTCTTGGCAGTCCCACATACCGCAGAGGACGTGGAAGTTCTTGTACATGATGCAGCAGAAGAACTTTGGAGATGGAAAGAATTAGGTCATGACCTTCACAGCATCAGTATTCCTGCAAAACTGCTTGGCTGTGCCAGTAAAGGTCTAGATATAGAAAGCACTAGTAAGAGAGTCTACAAACAGGTATGTAACATGGAAGGATAATTCTAACTTTTAAACTTCTCTCTTGTCTGAAATTTGGGTTCTTAGCCATTTTATTTTGTTTTATTTTTCTCCATCAAGGCGGTTTTTGACTTAACAAAAGAGATTTTTGAGGAAATATTTGCTGAGGATCCCAACTTGAATCAGCCTGTCTGGATGAAACCATGCAGAATCAACTCTAGTTATTTTCGGCGCGTGAAAAATCCAAATAACCTTGATGAAATCAAGGTAAACTGCAAACTAAAGAGTATCTCTTTTTTGGACTTGCTTTTTCTTTATACAGATCTGTACATGCTATAATGCTGTAAGAGCAGGTACTCATCTGTATCGTTCACCTTTCTGTCCTCAAGGCCTTTCCCATAGTTGGTAATCAATAAATCCTTTTTGATTCATTAAATCCAGGAGCAATGGGAGTGAGAGAGAATACTGAATCTTCAAATTTTTGTAAAAGCAAACATATTTTCATTGTTATTTCCTATATGTACACAATTTATGATACCTAAGAAAAATCAGGAAATAGTCGGAGATAAATTGTCGTACCACATAGACTTTTTAGGTGAGTTTTTGGTAATTTAGAGATAGCTAGAACATTCTAGAAGTACAGCTGAAAACATGTCGTATATCAAACATGCTGGCCCTAGACGCAGAGGTTTACCTTTCCATCTTTGATTTTGGAGGTTTCAAATTGGTAATGTGGTTTTAAAATATGTAGGATGGTAATATGATACATAAAAAATATTGTTTTTTATCTAAGAAGCCCCTGAAAAGATGAAGTGCCCCAAAGCTACAGGGAATCTCTCTACCTGGTCACCTGTTTCTTTAGTTCAACAAAAGTTATATTTCCAGTGCACTGCCTCTCAGATTTAACATGCATATGAATCATCTGGGGATTTTGTTAAAACAGAGATTCTGTTTTAACAAAACAGAAAAGCAGAATTTCAGGTCCTACTCCAGACCTTACTCAGTAGGTCTACTGAATAAGGTCTGGAGTAGGACCTGAAATTCTGCTTTTCTAACAAGCTCCCAAGTGATGCTGTGGATTCTAGGACCACTTTGAGTAGCAAGGCTCTAGAGTTATGTTTTCCAAACTTATTTGATCATTGGAAGCTTTCTTTCCCTCAGAGAACATACCTCCAGTTACTCATCTTACTGGTGTGTTTTCTTACATCATCCGTAGTCTCTGTGGACTATCAAAATACATTAAAGGAACATATACGTCATTCTGGTATATAATGTGGTGGCATTGCCTAAACAACTTAGTCTTTTCTTATTGAGATTAAATCGACATACAACATTATATTAGTTTTAGGTGTACAACATAGTGATTCGATGTTCATATATATTATGAAAAGATCACCACCACAGTAACTCTAGTTATCACTATGCATAGTTACAAATTTTTTTCCTTATGATGAGAACTTTTAAGATCTACTCTCTTAGCAACTTTCAAATGTACAATACAGTATTATTAACTATAGAAAGCTTTTGAAAATATTTTATACTGACAGAACACGAGCAGGTATTTATGAGATGTAATGTGTGTGTACATCAGGGTAGGCAAATTATAGCCCAAAGGCTAAATCCAACCATCACCTGTTTTTATAAATAAAGTTTTATTGGACCACAGCCACACCCATTTGTTTACATATTGCCTATGTCTGCACTCCTGCTAAAATATTGACAATATGGCCATTTACAGAAAAAGTTTGTCAACCCCTGCCTACATTAAAGTAAGTAGAAAAAAAGAAAATTTTCAAAGATTAATTTGATTCATTAAAAATGCGTTTAAAATTATTTTCAACTTTGAGGAATATAGTATCAGAACCACATGAGGAGTTTCTCAAACCCTGATATACTCCATTCCTTTCAGCCCTCCACAGTTGATACATCCTCAAATGCATGCGCTTGCATGTGTGTGTGCGTGCATGTGTGTGTGGGGGGGTAATAAGTGGTAGAGTTTAAGGGCACATTGGTAGTTTGAGAAATATCTCAAATGATTCTGATTCATAAAGTGTCCTCTCCCCACTAAGAACATTGTTTTTTAACAAGTAATAATAATATAGAGACTTAAATATATATTTAATGTACTTTAAATACATTTAAAAAGTAATAAGGACCCAAATTATTGTATTAATAACAAAGAACAAATAAGTTGAAACTAAAACATGATACATAATATATACCAGCAATCATCAAAATACATACACCAATATAAAGCACAATGATGCTACCCACTAATTTTAATATTGAAATAACATTTTGTACAGTTTTTTTAAAGGATGGTAATTTAAATATTGTTAGTAGTAAAATTATCATGTTTCTCATACCGAAGTGTTGATTAATATTTTTTAAGTTTAACATATTAGAATCTTGATGCTTCAAAATAAACTGTTCCAACCAAAGCCTTGTACTTTGCTCACATGGCATTGCTCCCAAAATTTATGTTGGATTTTTCAGGGTCAGAGATTTATTTTTTATTTTATGCTTTCGTTAGTAGTTTTGCCAGCTTGAAGTTAGCTAATAGTGGTTCTTGGGTAGAGGGGACTCTAAAGTGATCTTTCTTTGCAGATTCATCAATGGGTTTTACTTTTGTATGTTGTGTAACAACAAAACTCTTTACGTGAGTAAAGTCTGAGCTTTTAGAATGCTTTTCTCTTCAAATTTCTAAGCGGAAGAAATTTGGATGGTCTTTTATTATAAATGTGGTATTAGCATAGATCCGTTTGTTGCGTTATAAGCATGAAATCTCAGAAACTTTATTGTTTGTGTTTTATTCATTCCTCTTATTTTTACAGAACTTTATAGCAACTGAAGTACTCAAGTTGTTCAGTCTTAAAAAGGAGCCAAACCACAAAACAGATTGGCAGAAAATGATGAAATTTGGAAGAAAGAAGAGAGACCGGGTGGATCACATTCTGGTCAGTGTATATAACTCAACTATTTTTATTTTGACCGTCTCTTCTAAAATCAGAATGTAGTTTGATTCTGAAGTAATGGGAATAGAACTGATCTGAAGTCTACGATAGTAAAGTCTTAAAGCCTTCATTTGCTGCATTTCTATCCCTCGGTTTTGAAAATTGCTTTCTTTTGAACTCTCTAGATGAATAACTTAATAGTATTTTGGGGGTGTTGAGAACTTGAGAAATAAAAAGCTTAGTAGAAGCAAAGTTTAAGGAACTAAATTGAAAAGAGGCTAGTGTAGACCCTGGAGCCAGACTGCCTGTGTTTAAATCCCTGTTCTGCCACTTGGTTGCAGTGTAATCTTGGACAAATTAGCTAACCCCTCTGTGCCTCATATTCCTATCTGCAAAATGATGATAATATCTAACTGATGAAATTAAGAGGATTAAATGAGTATTTATATATATATATATATATGGAACAGTTCCTTGCACATAACTCAATAACTATTAGCTGTGATTATTTTATTATTATTATTATTATTATATAGAATATTAGGTGGATAGGATTTATTCCATTTTGCAATATATTTCTCTAGCATTAGAAAAAAAAGATTTATAAAATGAAAAGGAAAAGGAATAAAGTGGTCTTTTATCCATTTTTCCCTAAAGGAATGTTAAGTAGTAGCAACCCTTAGGAAACGCACATGTATCTCTCAACACTTACATTCACATTTCATTCATATTTCATTTATCCACACAGAAATTAACTCAATGGAGTTTTTTATAAAGAGAAGAATGAAGGAGGAAGTGGTAACAAGAGAGGTTCTTTTCGCTCGAAAGAAATAGGCCGGTAGAGATTGGTGCAGAGGCAAGAGATCTGTCGCAGCAGTATCCCTGAACAGGCCAGGACGGAATCCACCAGGGGGAGGTGTTGGCCTCAGACAGAATAGTAATTGCCCTTTTAAAGCACGTGTAACATGGTACAACTATTATACTAAATATAAAACAGTTGCTTCCAGCTAAAATATATAATTTAGCTGTTGTTGCTTGGACTAGGAAAGGCCCTAATCAGTCTATCTATACATGTGCCTTTCAACATTATTTGAGATAAGTAAAATACAAAGAATGTTTTATAGACAAAGGCTTCTGTTAGCCAAAAAAGAAGTCTTTCTTTCAGCTCTAGCTTTTATTCACTGTCCCTTTACTGCTTCACAAAGACCGTGATTAATTTACATCTTAGGTTAGCTAAGAAGTTGAGCTATTTTTAGCAATGCATTCTCAAAGTGTATGTGATGTGGAATGAGTAACAAGTATGGTAGCCCCCGCCCCGCCCCCCCATCTCAGCGGGGTAGGTTCCAAGACTCCTGTGGATGCCTGGAACTGAAAATAGTACCAAACCCTTTATAAACCATCTTTTTTCCTATACGCACATCCCTATGATGAGGTTTAATTTATAAATTAGGCATAGTAAGAGATTAACAACAATAACTAATAATAAAATAGGACATTTGTAACAATATACTGTAGCAAAAGTTCTGTGAGTGTGGTCTCTCTTTCTAATAACCGATTTGATGACCAAGATGGCTAAGTGACTAATGGGCAGACACCTAATACAGCATGGATGTTCTCGACAAAGGGATGATTCACGTCCCAGGTGGGATGGAGCAGGACAGCAAGCGATTTCATCATGCTACTCAGAACAGCATACAATTTAAAATTTACAAATTGTTTATTTCTGGAAGTTTCCATTTAATATTTCAGACCACAGTTGGCTGCAGGTAACTGAAACCGTGGAAAGCAAAGCCATGAAGAAGGGGTGCTGCTGTAATTAGAGGAGCTTTTGTGTATCCTTTGTATATAGTAGCCTTGAAAAATATTCCTCCTATGAGTAGAATTGTACTTAAAATTTAAATCCTGCAATGAAACTACCAAGCTAACTTATGATCAGATATTAGATAGCTCCTGAGTCTGTTTGCTGTTGATAAATTCCTTCTCATATTAAACTTAAATTGATTTTCACGTAATTAATTATAATTTGCTTCTACAGCTTTGGGGCTTTACATAACAATTTTAATTCTTCCTACATGCCTTTGAAGCAGCTGTCATGTTTCACCTGAGTCTTTTTCTTCCTAGTAAACGTTGGTGTTCTCTCCTATTGTCTGATAGGGTTTCTGAGAGCCTTCTATATCATCAGCTTTAGCTCTTTGTCAGTGTCCCTCTTTAAATACAGTGCTCAGAACTGACCATATAACATCTTTGTATATTGTTTAATTAGTATAGTCATATAACTGCATCCCTTTTTCTGTATACAATGCAGTCATGCACTGCATACTGATGGTTCAGTCAGCGATGGACCACACATACAGTGGTGGTCCTGTAAGATTTTAATGGAGCTGAACAATTCCTGTCGCTTAGTGACATCATAACACCATAGAGCACGACTCGTGTTTGTGATGATGCTGGTGTAAGAAACAGGTGCTGCCAGCCATGTGGAAGTAGAGTGCACAGTGACGTATAGTACAGGACACTTGATCGTGATCCTAAACGATTCTGACTGCTTTATGTATTTACTATATTTTTTACCGTTATTCTAGAGTGTGTTCTTTCTATTTATAAAAAGAGTTTGCTGTAAAGCAATACCCTGTGGTATGCTGGCAGCAGCCTCATACATCTCGAGTTTACTGAGTCTCTTAATTGCATCATTCTGTCTCTGCTTGATTTAATCTCGTGTTGTCTTGTGCAGTGCCACATTATGTGGGCTTGCAGCCTAGGAGCAGTAGGCTACACCATATAGCCGAGGTGTGTGGTAGGCTGTACCATCCAGGTTTGTGTAAGTGCATTCTGCGATGTTCACACAGTGATGAAAGCAACCTAGTGATACATTTCTCAGAACATATTCCTGTCATTCAGCGGTGTATAACTGTACCTCGATTAATATAGTTTATAATCACATTTGTTTTGTTTATTTTTATCTGTGTCATTCCCAAGAGACTCACAAAAGCTTAGGAAAACTCCAACACAAAAATCTCAACCTGTGCTTTCGTAGTTGTTTTTTGGACCATGTACAGGACCTTATTTTACTCTTCATCTTGTTAAATTTGGCCCATCATTCCAAGCTACCAACACATTTTTGGTTCTTTCATCTAACATAGTTGTTATATTTCCCAGCATCACGTTACCTTTAGTATTGATGTACCTGCCTCCATGTAAGTCATTACTAAAAAGGAGGCACTGGAGAGAGTCAGCGACAGCCAGCCTTTTAGTGCTCACTGAAAATCCAAATGCCAGATACCAAACACGTGCCATTTATATTGTCCTGGTCACTGGGGAATTATAAATAAAAAGAAAACTCTCGAGGAGCTCATGGAACCCAGTCCCACAGGAGGACTACCACAGTGGAACATGAATAAGATAGATGGGGAGCATGGAGGGAAAAGCCACTGAGTCTTCCAGGCGGAATCTTTCTTTCAGGTTGATAGTCATTTTGTTCTTTAATCATAAAGGTACAAATCTGCCTAACTGACGTGTCTCTCATATTTCCCCATCTTGTTCAAAAGGATCTGGTGAAAGACCCTGACATATGCTTGCTGAAATCTGGCCACATTCCATTTATCACATTTCTCTTTTCTATCAGCCTAATACCCTGTTGGAATAAAAGAAAATGAGGTTATCGAAGTTATTGTTAGACCGACTTTCTGACTTTGAATGTAACTTAATTTACATATAACTTACACGTGTACATATTCAGGAGCGGGGCAGGGGAAATTAGCATAGAGTAGAGTAGAGTAGAGTAGAGTAGAGTAGAATAGAATAGAATAGAATAGAATAGAATAGAATAGAATAGAATAGAATAGAATAGAATAGGCTCAAATAAAAACAGAAGAAAAAAATGGAGGCAGATTTGCAAGCTGTAAAATCCCTCAGCTGCCGTAGTTAAAGTTCCAAGTTGGCCTTTTTGCTTTCTGATGGGCCAAGCAAAAAGGAAAACATGAGGGTAGTTCTCAGTGGCTGAGAGGGAAATAGTTTCTGTTCTTAGGGGGCAACAAAGCTTTTGCAGATCCTGGTGAGAGCACTAGGGATGCTTGTCGGGTACACAGATATGATGGGTAATGTCCTGAGCCTGCATCTCTACCGTAAGGGCAAAAACCATTTCATTGGGATAGAAAGTATTTCTAAATTATATTATTGGGGAGGAAGTCGCTCAAAGAACAGATTTAATACTAAAGGCTGAGCTAACTTATAAAAAGAAGCTGTACAACTCCATTTGAATAAATAAATCCAGGGGAGGTGTGAAATCTTTTGTGGGAACATAACCCGCGAGCTTTCCTGGAGCATGGCCTCTGTCAGCACCAGTGTCTTTCATAAGAGAGGGACATCAGCTTATCAGTAGGTTAATGCTATTTCTTATACATCTGCACAAAATGATTCTTTGATCAAGTAAGTACAGGACACTCTGGTGGTCTTCTCTTTAATGGGCTAATATGCATTACGAAACTTCCAGAGGGAGTTTTCTAAAACTTATTTGACTTTAGAACCTTTTTTGGTGACGTATTGGTTCATGGAGCATAATTTATAGAACAAAGGAATGAATATTTGCATACCCTTCAAACAACCCCCCTCAAAGAGAAGAATGAGAAAGAATGTAAGCAAGCAAAAAATCTGGGCGGTTACTTCTGAGTTAATTAGTTTTGGTTTACCTTAAGAATCCCCAAATCCTGAAATATAAAAAGAACAAGTATGTATAACAATGATTTTTAAAATAAGTTAAGCAATACTACATTTGAAAATACTCTAATGAATATTAAATTTTATTCATTTATAATGCTTCAGAATCATATCCAGTATTGTCTTTGGGTACATACATTTTATGACTGTAAAACCACATATCTAGTAATTTGCGTTCTCTTCCCTTTAAATCTCTATACACATTGTCTTGTGTTGACGTAGACAGCATGCTTGTAATCCTTAATAGCTATAAAATACTGGAATATTGTCATTGAGTTTTTTAACTTTTTGCAACTTTGAAAGGGGTGTTGTTATCACACAACACTTTTTTTCTCTGGCTTGTTTCCTTGGCCTGTAGTCCCATGGATGGGACTACAAGGTCAGCAAATATAACAAATTTCCTAGCTTTTATTTGACACGGATTTTTCTAACCTCTGTGCTTTCTCAATTCTAGGTGCAAGAGCTCCATGAAGAGGAGGCACAGTGGGTGAACTACGATGAGGATGAGTTGTGTGTGAAGATGCAGCTGGCTGATGGGATCTTTGAGACCTTGATCAGAGATACTATTGATGTTCTGAATCAGATCAGTGAAAAACAGGGGAGAGTGCTACTTGTGTGACATCTTGCAAATAAACTGAACACTGAGTGCTAATGTGAGTCCTGGGCCTTTCTGCCTCCTGATACACACCCCATCTCCATCATAGCAAGAGTGCTTCTGGACCTTGTACCTGTTCTTAAAGACTACTGGTTTGGAGTCCACGGGACGGTGCGGTATATCTGGTATTACAGCCTTTGCCTTTAGAGACTGTCCACTGGACTAATGGGGTATTTTCAGTGGGCAGGGTTGCACACCTGATGTTGACACACGGTATAACTCTGCACCTCTCATTAACACCCCTGCTGGGTGTCAGATGAGGGCTGAAAACACCAGACTTACCTCGTAGCTTAGACTAGATATCACTTCCTTGAGTCTGAAGTCAGGCAGGAGAGGATATAAATAAATGCATTAGACCATTTCTAAAATGTAATCCTGGTCTATACCATGAAAGTCATAAAGGATATTATAGTTTCTAAACAGTATTAAACCCTTAACCACTTCTAAATAGGCAAGTTTGATGACGTGTGCCTATTCCACGTGCTGGAGTTCATTTCATTTCTTTTTGAAGACCATTTTCCATTATCATAGTTGAGCAGCACCAAGTAGGCTGTCAGGTTAATAGAAGTCAGTGGTAGCCTTGTTTTCTGAGCACCATCTAAAGAATTTTAAACCTTTGCATTATTTTTAGTTTTCTCTATTTGGGCATGAATACAGAGAAATGTCCCACTGAAGACTGGGCTCCAAGGACTGACGCAGGGCCGGTCCCTCTGCCCCTCATCCATCCCAACTTTCCTTGCTCCTTCTGAACCTCTGCCAGCTGCTCCCAGATTCGCAGATCCTCAGGACCATCTCAGGCATCAGGCACGGCAAAAGTGGAAATAAGTCATTTTGGCCTTCGAACTTTCAACTCCTATCTCTCCCCAAGAAGTCAGAGACACTGTTACTTGAATGATTTAGGAAATGAGTGTGCACCAAAGACAAAAAGATATTTTCTGTTGTTTGTGTGCTGCTTTTGTGCTATGGAACATTTTTTAATTTATTTTAAGATAAATTATTAAGTTGAAAATGTGTGTCTCTATTCAGAAGTGGAAGATTCTTCATCTAATAGTTACACTTCTATCTTGAAGCTTCTATGGCTCATAGTCCTTTGCACAGGAAAACCTACGTTTTTAACAAACCCGTACACTTATCAAAGAAGGCAGTTTAATTCAGTGAAAAGAAGATGGGCTTTTCCAAGATCATCTGCAGCAGCAGAAATGGGATAAAACGGTGTAATGACACTGTCAAGTTTAACTCTGCCTCTTGCAGCGGCTCTGCTTCTCGCAACTATTTCCTGGATCTGAAGAATTTCATAGACTCCAACTGCTACGCCAGAGCACACATGATGCTGCCCTGGGGCCTCAGCGCGCTGCCTTCCTGACTGGTTTGTGTCAATCAGTTCTATCCGTCTTCAAGTAATCTAGAAGAATGTGGATACTCTTAGGCGTGAATGTAAATGCCTTAATATTGGAGGTCCTGATTAGAAGCATGATGTAAGACATCCACTGGATTCATATTTACAAATATCCTGGAATGTTACAGCTTCAAAATATGTTGGGAAAAACCCAAAAGTGGTTTAATCTTTAAGTGTGCATGTTCATTCATTTCTGCATCTTTCCTTCAACTTGCCTTTGCATCTCAAATGTTTCACTATGCACACTTCCATTCCTCTTTGGTTTCATCTTGTCATTAGGAGAAACGTACTGAAATCATCATTGGAATATTTGCACTTTGCACAATGACTGGTATGATAGCTCTTGACAAATAAGGAAAGCACTGAAATGTTCTGATCGGGTCTCAGGAAGTGCTCGGGTTAGTGTATTGCCAGCATTTCCTCTGGGCTTTTGATGTTGAGCTCTAGTCTCGTAGCCATAATGAGCAAATTGACTGAGAGAAGCTACGGTTTCTTGGGGTTATTAACCAGTAGTGTGGAAATAATATTTTCATGTGGCCAAGGAAAAGCAAAAGCTTTTCTTTTCAGTTTGTAGTGTTTGGAAGACAGAAGAACATCTTGTCTACATCCTTTGGCTGTTTGTAGGATTACATTGTCCTTATGATACTGAAACTTCACAGCTGCTGTAAATTTTTTATAAATGAATATAAAAATAATATAATAGTAATATAGGTTGTTTTTCTACATCCTCATTATTTGGACCTAGACCTAAATTCATTCTTACTAAGAAAGTTTATTCTTTATGACATTATGATTCCAGAAAAGGAAAGAAATGCTCTAAGTCCGTGGAATCAGCTGTCTCTGGACTTAGTCCCCTCGTAAGAAAGCTGCCAAGTATGTGGCAACAGCGGCCCTGACGTCCTCCAGCCGTCTTAACTGTCCTAAGAACTCTGGGTTCCAGACGAGAGGCAGGAATTGATCAGTCTTACTCCTTGCTAGAAATGATTATAGTTTGGTAGCAGAAAACAAAGGAATCTATAATTAGCAGATTTCTTTTTATTTTAACTATTTGGATAAATTTGAAAGGGATTTATTGTTAGGGTTGGGAATGATAAATATGGACCCCCAGCCACTTGTTCCATATTGGGGTCTTTTTAATCAAGCTCTGCCTCTTAACCAAGAATCTAAATATTCCCTCTTTGTTCCTCCTCCCCACACCCCATCCTCTTCCACTCTTCATAACTCCTCTGAGAAAAAGATCTTCGCATCAGCAGTAATATCTTTTAGAATAGCACTCAGAATTTAGTAGTAAACCAACATACTGGCTTCAGATTTATTTCTGAGTCCAAAATAACTTGTGCTATCCAGGGTACTTAACTCTGGGTTAAATAAGTACAGGGTATAGATTCCCTCTTCAGGTCTAAACAGGAATTTTTACTCTAGGGAAAAGTGGGAAGAGCTCAAAAGTAGTTAATAAAGAAGGTAATTTGTTTTTCTTTTACCTAAAAGGAAAGAAAATTCCTTCTGTGACTACAGGTCTCTGAGAAACTATCTTTCGGAAGAGATTTCGTTGCTCATAAGAGTGTTGTGGCCTATTGATAAAAACAATTTTGTTCACTTTCTTGTCTTGAAAAAAAGTGGCCTTAGCTTTTTGCAATACTTGAATAAAGTGTGTACTCGCACAGCATTAGAGACTCATAACTTTTCTGCAAGAAGTTCAAACTTACATCTTCTTTTACTACCTTAAGAATACTAGTGAATAAACAGTAATTCAAAGAGCAAATGATAGAAACTACAATGATGTTTAATGCAAATTGTAGGAATTTACATGTTTACAAATCATCTTAAACTGGTTGTGCAGCAATTCAATAAAATATCTTTGTATTATAAAAATGTGAAGAAAAAAATGTAAACTGATGTAAAGGAGGTACTATCATTTTAATTAACCTATGTTTAATAGCTTTCCTTCCGGACTTTGCAAAGCCTTCTTGGGAAACACATTGCAAAGTGTTCTCTGGGAGGCTCGGCCTCCGTGTGTGTACTGTATCGTGCAGACATGAAAAACAAACCCGTTTACTGTGTATGTGTAAATAGCCTGGTCACCAGGCCATTTTCAGCCAATAGTCACATCCCGTGCAACTTTGCACAGAAGACTTAGGGTGTGGTTTGTAAGTATGATCTGTAAAATAACTGGGATGAATTCCCATGTATACCTGTGTAAATAAATTTGTTAACTGAAATGTACTTTCAGGAATATCTGTAAATAAATGATTTATAAATTAATTTCACATCAGATGTTCATTTTTTTCACGTTTTAAGTCAAGTACAGAAAGCCAGTCCCCGTAAAATTCACGGATTTCTGATTTCTCAGTGGTCGGCAGAGTAAGGTGAGCTGCGTGCGGGAGCTGTTCACTCCCCGGATAAACGCCATCGCCACGCACATCTGGGCAGCCCGTGCTCTGACGTCATCACTCGTCTGTTTGACAGTTGTCGAGCATACCTTCCTGTTCTGAGCGCTGTGCTGACTGCTGGTGGGGGGGGCGGCAAAGACGACAGAAGTGGTCCCTGGCCTCACGAAGCTTAAAATCTAAATTTCCAAAACAGTGCATGACAAATTGCGGTAAGTGCAACCAAGGAACACGCGCAGTGTTTGAGAGCGTGGACTGGGAGGGCCGTGCGAGGGGGCGGGTCAGCGGAGAGCCGTGAATCACAGCTCCGGGTTCCCGAGCGGTGGCTCCGTCCCTGAGATTCGTGGCAAGTGTCTTTCCTCGCAGATCACTTGAGTTCTGATTGCCCTTGTGAGAGAACTCATACGGAAAGGTCACACACCATTAAGTGGGCCACCAAGAAGGGCAGCCACCTGATGACTGGGTGTGAAGGCTCTAATTTCTAGAAATACGAGCTTGAAGAAGGATGGAGCTAGAGATACAGAAGAACAAAAGAATTTCAAAGACGGAGCCCGCTGGAGTGCGTGGTGCTCAGGATAATGAGTCATCCTCGCTCCGACAGATGAGAAGTAACCACCGTCATCTCACCTGAATCCCTCTGGTCGCCTCCCGACGGCCATCCCTGCCACACCTTTAACCCCTACACATCCTTGAATGTTCAAGTTCTCAGAAAATGACCCCAAATAGTGGCAGAGTCTAAAAATTTTATCTCGTAAAACATACTTGCGTGCCCACCATGTGCCAGATACGGCGTTTGGTGCTAAGGACGCAATAGTAATGACACGTCAAAATTGTAAAAGACTCAAAATAGACGAAAATGGTCAGGGGGTGGATGGCAGTTGAGCAGAACCCAGAGTGCCTGCAGAAGTGGGTGCTGGCGAGACGAGCCAGTGCCCTGCAAAGTCCCAGAAAAGCTCTAAAGTGAGAGGCTAAAACATACTTGCGTGCCCACCATGTGCCAGATATGGCGTTTGGTGCTAAGGACGCAATAGTCATGACACACCGCAACTGCCACGGAAAATGTGCGGAGCGTGGGACTGCTCCCCGCTTCCCTGGGTGGCCAGGCTTTGGAGTCGGGTTAAAAGGCAGATAAGCGCCACCCAGGCAAAAAAAAAAAAAAACGGTGCCTGGTACGAGGTCACCGAGAGCAGACAGTGGCTCCCCAGGCTTGAGGGACACTGCGTTTCCTCGCTGCCAGACAGGAGAGAGCGCGCGCAAGATCCAGCCGCTTGGAAAGCATCCGTCCCCCGTGGCCTGCGGATCCACTCCGATGCTGCAGGGCGTGGCGGACCGGCAAGCACCCAACTTCCTGCTGCAGTGAAAGGGCCCAGTGGGGTCTGAAATGCAGAAGGCTGGGGGCCGGCCCAAGGACCACTGACCCTTGGCTTCAGCAGAACAAAAGAGCACACGGTCTGAAGCAGGGAATTTTTTGGCCATGAGCCTGGCACCTGCTGTGAGGACTCTGTCTTGGTGAGTAAGGCCCAATGGCCATTTCAGTGTGACAGTGCAGGAGGCCAGAGCTTCAGGTGACTGCCTTACCAGACTGTCCACCACCCCCAACCCTGCTCAGCCACTGAAATAGCAGCAGATAGAGCACACCACCTCTGAGGGGACTGTCGTTCAGCGGGACTGTGTAGGCGGAGCTGGGTGACCGGGCCCCTGAACAACCCAGATGGATGCAGTGTGCTTGCAGAGGCTCCTTGTCATTTGGAGACAGCATTTCACCAGGGGCACTAGGAGAAGCAGACCCAGGGCAGTGACCAGGCCTCCTGGAGCGTGGCCCTGCACCAGAAAGCCCGGTGCCTGGACCAAGCCCACCGAAGAGGTCACAAAACCGATCGGGGCCTGCGGTGTGCGGCTGGGGCTTCTTCCCCCGCAGTGTGGAAGGACCCACAGCAAGAGGCATTGGCAATAACACAAACGCCACCCTGTTCTGCCAGCAGATAATTGAGGGCTATTCGAGTGTCCGGCTAGTAAGTTCAGTGATTCTTGTCGAGCCGGAGGAAAGTCCAAGCTGTGTCCCAGATAAGCCATTCAAATGGGGGTGAGCGGTAAGATGGACTTTATTCCGGATGACAGACCCAGCACCCTCTGAGCTCCCTCTCGTCCCCAGGCTGTGCCGTTCTCATCAGCATTGTGGCGCCCGGCCCAGCAGAGGCTCCTGGAGTAAGAAGACAGGTTCAAGTTCCCATCTGTCTCCTGCTCTGGGAGCCCCCGGAGGCTGAGACGCTCTCCTCTTCCAGTTCCTCGGGATCCACTGCCCTCTGGGACCCAAATCTTTTGGCCCAATCATCCAGCATGGGGAGGGAAGTGACATCCTGAATGAACTCGGCACGTCCTATAATACCACCCACTTGAGTCAGAGGTGCCAGCCCTGGCACCCCCATGTTCTGTCATCCCTTCCCCAGTCCCCGTGGGGCTCCCTGGGAGAGAGGTGCCTAAATGCAGCACTGCCTCTCTTTGGAATTAGGAAGCCCTACTGGTGACGCCACTGTGGCCCCGACCACAGTCACAAGAGAAAAGAAAAACAAAGGTCGGGAGTACTGAGTCTGGGATTCTGCTGGCACAGCCTCATCTGGCGACTGCCTGGTCCCCCACCCACTCCAAGTTCAGTGTCACCCGCCATGTGTTGGAGCGTAGTGTTTAATGTTCAAGTGATTTTTCTGAGGCGAAGTACCATCTGGTAAGTGGTTTTCTTGATAGTCTGTATAGTCGCTTGAGCTGTTCATTTCAGTGTGTTTCTCCCTGTCTGTGTCAGGATGACAGGAAGCAGGCAAGCTCCACCTTATCTCACAGGCACAAGTTCATCGCTGTGTTGTTTGGGCTGTGACTATGATCTTGATCAAAGGGAATGTTGGATATGTGAACATATGGCAGAGGCGTTTTTTTTTAAGCCACAACAGTGGTCTCTGTGTCTATGTGGCACGCTGGGATATGTGTCCACGCAGTGAGCGCCTAGAGTTGTGACTGCGGAATAGCAGTCCAGTGTGGTCCATTTACCACATTTGTGGGGGACCTAGGCCCACTTGATGTGGCCCAGTTTGCCACATCGCCTGACCCCGCGCTTGCTGGCAGGAGTCACGTGACTGCATCGTACCTTTGGCCTTCATTTCTGGGGGATGAATCCTTGTGGTTTTGTCCAGTTTTGTATCTGAGATGGACGTTTATGTTCCATTCTGTGGTGGACCCAACAGGCAATCAGGGCGATTTGCTGAGCACGTTATGTTACCTCGTGAGTCCCGTTTGTGTTTTTTTGTTGTTTTGTTTTGTTTTTTAATGGTTCTTTGTTATAGGCAATATGAATGATGGATAGGATTTTATTCCATCTACAGATGTTGTCACAGGGGAGCCCTCAGTGGTTCAATTACTGACTTGTCAGTCACTGGACTGTATTGCTCCCCAGTGTGTAGCTGCTGAGGGGTCTGTAATTAAGTAGCTGCTGGAGCGGCCTCTGTAGCCCTCAGTACGGCTGGGCCCTTCGGGCAGTGTTCTTGCCTGGTCTCAGTTAAAAGGTGGCCATCCTTGGAGAAGATGGCCACGGCAGCCCAGAAGACTGTCAGCTTTGAGTGTCTCAGCTGGGACATCTGCGAACTGCAGCCTCGCTTAGTTGAGGGGTGGGAGCGGTCTGACCACTGTTTCGCCTCCTCTGGCAAAGTGGCTTTTAGTTTATGGAGTCAGCCGGCCCTGCAGGGCCTGGATGGGCTCCATCTTGGATGGATTGTTTTTATCTAATGATGGAGCTTGTTGAGCCCATCCTGTTTTATTAGCAGGATTAGCGAGTACCCATGTGAGGATGGGCAGCTTAGGTCATAAGGACACATAGAGCACTTCTGTGGCCAGGTACTGTTTTCAGTAAGGCCCAATGGCCATTTGAAGGAGTGTATCTGGTGGCCACCTTGGGTAATTTACGTGTCCAAATTCAAGAACAGTGCACTTGATGGCAGTTTCTTGCTCTCACGGGCTCCAGTCTGCATGTGTAAAAGTCACAGAAACGCGTAGTTTCATAGGGCTGACGGGTTGCATTGGCGGGGCCTGTATCATTACATGGGGTGTGGCCTCTGGGGCCCACTGTGGTCAGAAGCCCCATTCAAGGGCGGCCACAATGTGGGTAACCCTGACAAAAGGGGCCAGAAGAATACCCAGGTAGGAGGACACCACAGGCCGACCAGTTTCTGAGTCATTTTTTGTTGGTGGTGGCGGGAACTGTCGGGGACAGTAACTTCTGTTTAATCTTAGCAGGAATATTGTTTTGATTACTGGCCCATGAACTGCAGCTGTGTAGCAGGTCCTGGCCTTTGTCAGGGCTGATGGCCCAGCCTGCACGTGTCACCGTGTCCATGATGTTATACAAGGCTTGGTCACCTTATTCTTTGTTAGGCTGGCAATGAGGATGTCGTCAATACAGTGGGTGGCAAGTCCTCCCAGGGGCCCTTGGACTTGTTACAGATCTAGCCCCACCCACTGCTGGCATATTACAGGGGGTTTGGGGGTCCCCTGCAGAAGGACGGGGAAAGTGTACTGCAGGCCGGTCCACGTACATGCAAATTGGTCTTGCTCCTTCTCCTGCAGGTGGATGGAAAATAGCAGCGTACCAGACTCCCATGTACGCTGTCACCGCCTAGGTGACGGCAGTGATGTCAGGTTCTGAGGGGCCAAGGGTGGCACCTTGGCATTCAATTTCTGGAAGTCTACTGTTAGCCTCCAGGTTCCTGAGGCCCGTTTTTAATGGGCCGGACTGTGCTGTTAAATTATAAGAGTGGTGTGTGATATTCTTGCCTATAGCAAGCTCTGAACTAATACATTTTTCCTACCTGCTATGTGGGACTGCTTTTGTTGAATAT